CGATCATCATGAGCTGCAACAAACATCAAATCAACTGATGAGTGAAGACATCTGATCGGGTTGAATCCCCCAACGACTGTGTTGTTCGGCCAAGTTCCAGGTCGATGTTGAGATACCGATCCCTGTCGCGGAACACTACCGATTTCTCGGCGGTGTCTGTGGACTTGAGCAACTATCTACAACTCCAGAACTGAAGCCCGGCAAACGGCGTAATCGGGAGGCGGCCTCCAAAAGCTCGAGAAAGCCACACAATATCCCTCATACGACGCCCAGCCAGCATTCCTAAGTAAGCTCGCTTCCCACCCTGGAGGCTGCAGGTTGGTGCATGTCAACATGCTAAATTAAGACGTTCGAGAAGCGGTAGATGGGGTAGCTTGTGCTTTCTGGAAACTCACCGCCGTTGGCAGCCTACAAGCCCTTGCTACTGGCACCGCACGTACGCATCAAAGAGAGACGGTGTGAGAGTCCGTCTCCGTAGCGTCGGTTCAGAAACGTCACTCGTCGTCCTTCGCCAGCCAACAGACGCCCTACCCAGCTTTGTCCTACCGTCACTTGGGACGACGACACCCAGGCTAGCAGAAGCTTAGTCCGCACCCGGCCGAAAGCCAACCCTTCTTCCACTTCGCAGAAGCCTGTCATTCTAGTTGTCGCAGGGCTATCTTGGAAACCCCGACGCCAACAACACCGAGGCAACCAGCTCCCCACAATCCCGCGGCGTATTTGGCTTGTCGTAATGGCGCAACCCAGCATAAAAGCCAGCTTCAGCTATTGCCCTAAGCTCACGGTCTGAAATCGTGAAACATGAGGCCCAAGAGGCCGAAGAAGTGTCAAGACTGAGCTGGTGTTGTACCTTGACAATACTGCGTAAGAATGCCAACTGCTGCCGATGCTTCCAGCACCCCCGCAAAGCCAAGACGTACAGAGGTCAGAAAACCGTTCAACCAAAGGTCGATGCGCTTCCAGCCAACGCCGATCGCTTTCGGATTTCCCGCCTCGGCCAATCCATCGGCAGGGTCGACATCGCGGATGGGCCCAACCACATCAGCAACACCGATCCGCTTGCCTTGGTTCGTCTTTGGCTCCGAGGGCTGCTTGGCGCCGTGGACACCGAGTCTGCAAGTTGCCTGATCTTGCCTGCTTTTAGGCAATGGCTCCAATACGCTCAAGTCACAGGATCTCAGCTGCATGTCATGATTGAATGACGAGACGGTATTCAACATGTCACGACAGGCTGCACAAGTCTCGGCTGCGAGATTGGCTATTTGATAACCGGACTGTACGCGGTCTCCCGTGAGATGTCACCTGTTGCCGCGCTCGCGCTGCAAATGAGTCGAGGGGGGACGAGTTCAGGCGTATATCCGAATATCTGATACACGATTGCCGCCGAAACGACCCTGGCCGCCAGAGCCTCTGCCATTTCTTCTGCCCCTTCAATTACACGAGCCCTTTCGTGGTGTGGCTCAGGAACGACCAATCCGCACCCCATGTCCGGTCCCGAAGGCCTTGAAACGCTATCGGACCATCCCACATTATGCTCCGGGCCGCACAACAAAGCCATGAACGCTTCTACCCTTCCCACCCTCCGGATCCTCGGTAAGATGGAGCTAGTGACCGGCCGGGGGTCCTGGGCGAGCAGGTGAATTTGATATCGAGGCCTCCGTTGATTTCCCGGCAGCTCGGCAGGCAAATTGCTGCCGTGGATCGAGGGTCCGGCAGGGCGATATTCTCCTTGCACAAGGTCCAGTTTTCAACGAGTGCAATGGCCATGGTTGCTGCCGATAGCGTGTGCCGATATACTTGGATATTCTGGAGCAATCGAAGCATGAGAGGCAAAAACTAATCCTCCAAGATCCATCTACCGACCGTCGATGGCAAATCCAATGACTCGAGTCCGCCATCTCGGTCATCACCCGCAGCTCAGAAAACTTGAGACGAACCTTGCAGCACACGACACATGAACGGAAAAGTATTTTCTCTCCCCTTCGACGACCCGTCTGCACGCAGCGTCATGGAGCCCGACTCCACCGGGAATCCCAACGTCAATCGTTCTCAACCCGCCCTCTCGGTGCTACCTGCTCGCATGGCTTGACCCTGCTCCCGTGCCGCGCACTGCTACCACGTGGTACTGCACGAGTAGGATGCCATGCGGGTATGCCGTCGAGAGAGACCCTGAGATCGATTCGAGGTTATCGTGTCTCGACAGACTGTGGAGGAGCATCAGCCAACTTGCACATGTCACTCTGCAATGCTGCTCAGCCATGGACCTCGTTCAAGCTCCCCAACCACGCCCATGTTCAACAGGCTAGGACACTTACATCCATGCTCAGTCTTGAACAGGAGCAAACCTGAGCGTTAGTGGCTCGACTTCTCGGCCAAAGGGAGACACTGCAGCCAACAAGAAAAACTGATCATGGTACACGTCGTCCTCCGCGCTAAACAGAACCAGGGCCATGTCGTAATAGTAGTTTTCGAGGGATGTCGATGTCCTTCGCAGGTTCGACGTTGCATTCGACGGCTCTCCGGGTGAGACTTGAGCCCAGTGACCTGGCATCGATTCGCAACTCTTTGTGAATGGTCTTCCACGGGCCATTCGTACAGTTGTGCAACTTGACTACCAGCAGCCTGTCTTGCAAAGTAGCTGTCGCAGCTCACTTGACAACTATCGTTGTTGGTGAAAGGTGTTGTGTTGGTGAAAGGTGTTGTCTCAACGCCAGTCATGGACGCCAGCAACATGACAGTCAGACGGCTCCCACCTTGCCGTTCGACTTGGTGAGCGGACAACCGCCATGATATCTCACGATGCTGCCCCATTCCTCGATGCCGGAAATTCATCCTGCAGTACCCGTCCGCAACGCGCCAACGCCAGAGGCTTGCTCCTAGACTCGTCCTCCCGATCAATGTGTTTCTCGCTGTTGACGTATCTGCCCGGCCGGCTCTCTCCATCCGGCCAATATAGTCGCAATCGACTACCTCACACCTTGCGAGGTTACGGGTGAAAAGAGACCTGCATTTCGTCACCTGAAGCACCCGTCCAGGCGTTCCTATACGTCTCGTATATCAGAGAAGCCCGCCTGCCACCTGTCATTCCTCGTCCGAGTCCTGCATGGTGCAGAACCGGTCGATTCACAGGTTTGCCCGAGCCCCAGCCGTGTGCGTCGAGCTTCTGCTCGTGGAGAGGGGTACGGCAAGCTGCATTTTTCATTTATACATCATCATATTCCGAGCTGTTCTAAGACTGCCGCCATCGGGGAGTGAATCCTAATTGTTGTGGTTGATTCTCGCGTTAGGCAATATCGGGCGGGATGCGATCCACGGCGCGAAATTCACAAGCAGGATCGAGTGGTGGTATCAGAACTTTCTCAGCGCTTCGTTCATAACCCGCCGCGTACTCGCACGCCGCGCACACTCCTGTTGCAAAAGCTGTTCGCGGAAATCCTGAAGACCTGTCGCGGCGTCCAAAGATAAAAGTGCGCTCTGGTTTCCTGATGGGTTGCACAGTTCGGTGTGTTTCGCCAGAGGAGTCCTCATCCTCCGAGACGAAAAGGGGAAACGAAACCACATCAAAGCAAAAGGTTCCAACCCGGTTTCGAAGCATCAGCTCTGCCGTCTCCATCCTCGGCGCCGTGAACGATTGAAAGAGGCAAATCAGGGCATCAGTCCAGATCATTCCGGAGTGCGCCTCTTACTTGGGGTTGGAGCAGGATCGCAGGTGCCTGCCCCCTGCCGCTTCTCGGCATATCGTACAGAGCATGTCTGATGATGGAGTAACCTCGTTGACGATGTCGCGGATCTAACTAATACGCGATGGAGAGAGCTGAGTAATACATCTAGATGAGTAATAGTCACATGGAGGATGTGATTTAGTTCAGTGGATGAAGAGCCGTCGAAAAGCAGCATACCCTCCCCCACCCCTATATCACGAATCGAATTCCCTGCGAAAGTCAGTGTATTCCGGTCTGCGTAGGTTAACATGGCCTCGCCGTTTTATTGAAAAACCAACCGTGTGTAGGACGGAGAGGGAAAGTATCCAACGGCATACTTGGCTTCGGAGTCGAGACCGCGAAATAACAATCACAGAAATGATTGGGATCACGAAAAACTCATGTAGGTATTGTATTGCACATCACGGTTGGTCATCGCGAGGATAATACCGGATAATATCTGTCAGTACTTGACGTGTTATCTTGAGACGAACTCGCCATCCTGATGAAGTCGATATCAGGCACGATGAGAATTGGAAGGTATGCGATGATGGCCCTCGCCTCTGGATGGAAGGTCGACAGAAACAATAGAACCCATTGTCATACGATAAAACTTCTTATGTGTAGTGACGTTTGCACATGTATTTTACGCGATTATGTTATAGGATCTAAATCGTCATGTACATCGTGTATATATATTACAAGCCAACATCAAAAATGCCTGATTGCGTAATATCATCACAATATGTGCTTCGAGGTAGATCATGGCAGATCACCACCAGCCCGTGACGTGCCGCGTAAGAGCATGATCCCGTGAGCGAGAATGTGACCGAGACTGCGTCGACGACATCCTTGAACCGCGCGCGTGTCGATCCGGCCGTTTGACTCGCAATCCGGGACGATATCCGTCATATGTAGCCGCCCCGCCGGTCTGGGCTCCCCTGAGCACGATTCATCTCATCTTGCGAGGTGCACCTTGCGTCTCTCGAAGGGCTGTTTTCCTGTGTTTGCGACTCGCGGTACATATGTATGTGTATCCGCAGGACGTCGCTAGATGCCCCAGCGGCGCGAGTCTACCGCCAGACGTCCTGAACGGATCGCAGTCTCGCAGAGCGTTCTCGCGCGCCGTCAGTGAGGCTACGATATGCTCTGCCAATTTCCCGTCTTCGTGACTCTGCTTTTATTAGGTCCCTCCTTTACGTCGGACGTGGCGTGTTGGAATTATTACGAGAAGCCTGGGGCGCGGCGTACGTTGCTATACCCACATTAACAGCCAACTCGAACGACTTGGCAGAAGAGCTACCTACGTTGCGCGGGAGCGTATCCTTGGGGCGCCTGCTGGTAGTACTGCCCCGGCTGGAGCGGGCGATTCGGGGGATACTGATACTGATACTGGTACGAGTGCTGGCCGTACTGGCTGTGCGGCGGTCTGTACCGGTTGTCCTGGAGGTAAGGCGTGATGGCCTGGTCGACGAAGTCGGTCGTCCTGTCGAGCAGCTTCTTTGCGTGGCCGAAGAGGCCCGAGCTGGACTTTGCCGGGGCCGGTGGTGACGTGTAGTTAAGTCTCGTCGGGGGCGGGCCGTAGGGGTTTTGGGGATGGCCTCCATAGCTCTGTGCCGGCGACGTCCTTGGCGGGAGGGGAGGAGGCGTCGGTGTGCAGCCCTGGGGACCGTTGACGTAGGACGGCTGCGGGATCGGGGGCGCATGGGGATTGTATGGGTGTTGCTGCAGAGGCGTTACGTTCGAGGGGTTCGGTGACGGAGCACCGATATCTGCGGGTGAGAAGGGGTAGGACGAGATGGTGCTGGCAGTGGTCATCGGGGAGAGAGGCGCTGTTGTCGCAGGTGTTGATGATGCTGGCGATACGTTTGCGGGTCGACCCTGGGAGATTGCCTGGGTATACGAGGGTGGTGGAGAGGCGTATGTGGGTTGCTCGGCGGCGATACTCGAAAGAGAAGCGGCTGGGCTGTGGTGCGCCGGAGGTGTCTGGTTGGCGTCTGGGCGAGCGTATGATGGCTGCTGGGGAAAGTAGGAGCTCATAGGCAAGGTCGGGGGAAGCGCGGCATGGGCGAAGACGGGACTGACGGGAGTCGCCGAAGTGTAGGCCTGCGATGGAGCTTGCGAATATGACGGCTGTAGAGAGTGGGCGGTCGCATATTGAGGCTGTTGCGGCGAAGGAGCCGTGGTAGCTCCAGTGTGAGCCGGTGAAAGAGGCGTCACTACAGCCGAAGTCCCGGCGGATACGGGCCTCGCAGATGAGGCGCTGGTCGGACGAGGGTGCATAGGGAGGTTGATTTGCGGCGCCGGTGACGGCTGGCGCCCTGAGCCCGGTCTGGTCGGGCTTGGAGGTGGGTACGTTCCGGCAGGAGGAATGGGGTACGTCCCGGCCGGGGGGATGATGAGAGGAGGACTTCCGGTGGGGACCGGCGGCGGCGCTGTGGTCGGGGCCGGAGGCCGAGAGATGTTTAACGGCGCCGGAGCCAGGGGTGCATCATCGGGAGATGCTTCTCCACCTTGCTGGACAGGGAGTCCCACCTCCGGGGACTGCTCCGGAAGCACGGGCTGCGTTGAGGCGGGATCTGCGATGCCACTCTGCGGCCCGTTTCCAAGCTTCGAATCGGCTTCTTGGTCCGGCTTGGGCGAGCCAGGGCCAGTCTTGACGATCTTTAACGGCTTCACGGAGAGCATCTCGTCGGCGTTCCCCTCCTTGCTCGGCGAGATCGAATCGGTCCTGGCCGGCGGGTCGTCTTCGAGGAAGAAGCCCCATGGATTCGCCTGGATCAGGGGCTTCTGGGCTGCCGTGTCGTTCGCAGCTGGAGAGACGGAGCCGGACGAAGACACGGGCCGCGGGGTGGTGGGCTTGGCCGGGGCTGACTCGGCAGCCATCTCGAAGACGGGAACTCCATCTTTGCCGGCAGCGGCGGCGGGAGCGGCGGATGAGGATGATGACGTCGGTCTCGATGTATGAGTGATCTGAGGGGCCTCTAGTTCGGCGAGGAAATGCTGCTGGTGAGAGGTAGCGGTTGTCGGAACTGGAGACGTGGAAGCGGCATGTTGGTGTTGTTGTTGAGGAGGAAAGTAGTACTGTGTTTGCTGCGGCGCTTGATACGGCGAATATCCGTACTGGTGTTGTTGGTTTTGAGGTTGCGGCGACTTGGATTGCTTGGGTGGCTGGACGTGGTATTGTGGTTGTGGTGTGTAGGGCGCGTAAGAAGGCTGCTTCGGAGGTCCTGGACTGGTGCCCATTTTCGGTCCACACACACCCTCTCTCTTTCCCTTTCTCTTTCTCTGCTGTCTGGTTGCTCGAGATCTCGAATGCGGTTATCTCTTTCCTTCAGTCTCGTCGCCAGTTTGGAGTAAAGAAAGAAGGAGAAAAGAAGAAAAAGAGAGTTGCGCGGCGAGGAAGGCGGGAGGAAGGAAGCCAAGGTTAGCTTTCCAGCCGCAGCGCCTTCTCTCTTCTCGGCTTAGCGCTGTGCTGTGCTGTGCTGGTTTCTTTGGGCAATAGAAAGTCCCGGTCCAGGTCTTTTTCGACGACATCAGCACTTCGGTCTCGGACAATTAAAACCCACAGCGCAGAGCCTAGGCACCCGACAGCATGGGTTCAAAATTAGGGGCCCAAGGGTTCGTTATGATGGAGCAATTAATTGAATTTGGATGTTTGTTGGCGCGGCGCAGCGCAGGCAAATGACCTCACCGCTCAGGTGTTGCCTCCGCCCTCAGCTGCACTGCAATTCTGCTGCCTGTCTTGCATACCACCATTTGCTGCGGCCTGTTCGTGTCCCTGATTCCATCTAGGAAATCAACCAACCAACCGCCAATCTCCAATCCCTGAGAAACGAGACACACGAAATGCGCCCTGCTGGCAGCCTGATTGGGATCCTTGCAGCGGCCGGAGGGGACGATCGTCAGCACAATGCCGTCACAGGGGTCTTCTGTGATTGGAGACTCGGCGTCGTTTTTTGTTTTCTTTTTGGTCGCTAGGGCTGAGGTAGCGGCCAAGTTTAAGGCTCTGGGGAGCTGAGATGCGCTGTTACGGTAGGACTTGACCTTTCCTGATTGAGCATCGTCGGTTGTTTCTGGGAGAACGAACCATCGTTCTCTTTGCTTTTGTTGAGTTTCTGCTTGAAATACCCAAAATGCCCTTCTCCAATCCATCACTTACCAAAGTCCTCCGCGTGTGTATTTCGAGTGAATTCTTGCCTGATTAAGGGTTTGGTCAGGCTGTGGATTCATCAGACCGCCGTCTGACCAGCTTGACGAAAACATACTGACAATATCTTAAAAACAAAAGCCCTGCAACACGACCAAGACAAATTGCTTTGGTTTTGTGGCTAATCATGGTCTTCAAATGTCTTGGATAAAATACTAACTATAGGCAGAATAGATATATAGAGTCGAATATTCCGATGACATTACAAAAAGAACAATCTACTAGTCTCAGTGAACTCAATCCACGACGAAGTTACCCAGTCAAAGCCCATCGTATGCAACACGAGTTCGTACACCTTTTCGGACTCGTGTTTCCTCGGTCCACATCTAGAAGTCCCGAAATCCTCGACCCTTTAAAAGGGCTCCCACCCCCGGCTGTTTTTATCCAGAACATCCTGGCCACCGGCTTCGACTCCGGGAAGCACGCCCCTCCGACGACGAACTCGCGGTATCTCGCTATAGAACTTCATCCCCGCGAACTGATGCCGCCCCGGATTCATGAGACCGATACAACCAACGAACTCGAAGAACTGGCGAAAGAATGCAGTCTGGCTCTAGGCGGACTGGAAGTATTCGGCAACAGTAAACCGGACTGCAGCACACCCTCGGTCTTCTCGTTATTCAGGCGCCGGCGAGTTGTCTGTAGGGGTTTGATATTCGAATTTCTCGTGTCGAGAGTCCGGCTTGTCTCGATCTTGATGCCTCCTCTTTGGACGATGTTCATGTGGTCCAGCACCTCGGCCGGATACTCGATCTCGAGTACCTCTTCCCAAATTTCTCGGCAGCTTTCTCGAAAGCGAGATATTTATCTTACACGTAGTTGCAGAAGATAATCTGCTGAAGGTAACCCTGAATGTGACTCTAGGAAGTAGCACGGAAGTTGTGGCTAGATCGACGATAGCCTAGGGGTAGAGGATCCTGCTAAGCTCATGACTGCTATCATCGACGAGGGTGTGGATGAACTCGATTGTCTCGATATGTGAGGTTCGTATGAAAAGAAAGTCCGCCAGTGTCTATGAGTGTTACCTTTCTGTTGGTTCGGGGGGTGAAACATGGATACATGACGAGGTCGGAGACTTTCTCGAGGATTCTTTGCTCCGCGTGGTGGTATTGAGCGTTAGGTTGTTCTCTTGCCTGTGCTCCGATGACTGGACAACCTAGCCAAGGGACAGTAGTGGAAGGTCTTTACGATGCATTGCTTTCGGAGAACGTAGGCTTGATTCTCTTTACTTGGATAAAACAGGTTCCCCTCGGCCAAAAAAAAGGGCCTAAAAACAGAGTTACTAAGACTGATCAAGCCGTTCATGGAGAATTGATGAACAGAACGAGAATATCCTCAGCGCTTTCATAGCAGTTAAGTCAAATTCGGCATCATGTAATGAAGTGTTAACAGTAGACATTTCGCACAAGACAATCATGACAACCTTGCTTCAACCGTGGGTTTTGAAGCTAGCTCATTCAGTTCCTACTCTAATTACCTTACATGGCTTGAAACCTTCGACTCGGCCTGTTTGTTACAAAACTCAAGTTGTGTTCTTTACCCCAAAGCCACGGTGACTGAGCAACGCTCAATCGTGTTGTTTGATCTTCTCGCCTGGCTCTGATGTTGAAAGAATCTATAAGAACTTTTATAAGGGTTTCAATATTGCGATCTCGTAGTTCCGCCCATCAGACTTTCGTGTTAGTCAGGGAACAGCCCGGCGTCTAGATGTCTGGATGGTCACCATTACGCACCTTTGAGTTGGGCTCAGGTGCCGTAATACCAGTAACCTTAACTCTCAATTTCTATCATCCGATGGTAATTCACTGTATCTAAAGTTTCATCGTGTTGCGCAGGCAAACGGCAGCGAATGCGGATTGCGAGATTGTGCTCGAAGATGCTGATGAAATTGACCCTTCATAGGTAGCCTGAGAGCGTTGTGTCGCAAGCAAGACGGGTGCCTCAGGCATTCTCAATTGTCTTGGCCGGTTGGCCCAATGGCAAGGCGTCTGACTACGACTAAGTACATCAGGAGATTGTGGGTTCGACCCCCATGCTGGTCACATTCTTTTGTTTCCGGGGCCATTGGCTCTGTTTTTGTCGTTTCCATTGAATGCACCATGCATTACACTTATTTAGACACGAGTATTGCTGTTGGTTCGGCCACAATAGGTCGTGGATCGCAGCTTTGGACACTGGACCTACACATGTGTTTTTGACGTCTGTCCTAGCCGCTACGAGCTCTTCTGTGGCCACACATTTTGTTTAAATGTTGCTTTTTTTCTTCAACCAACAACGATACTGACTCCGGTCAGAGCGACGACGTGAAGCTACTAGCCGTTTGACACCTCAGCCCGAGAGCCCTAGACAATTTCCTCGCTCTGACCAGAGTTTGACAGGACTTTCAAACACGTTCCCCAGGTTTGACAACCCTATCTCCGCGGCCTGTCTAAAAGATGATACTCCCCAGCCCTCCGAAAGAAACAAACCGGAGGAGAGCCGAAGCACAAGACATGCGATGCAGCACACAGGGGTGTCGTGTGCAAAGGAACCTCTGCTGTGCCGCAATGACGCACTTGGCGGCGGACCACCCAAGGTCTTGGTATTGGGAAGAAAGTGACACAGGCGGAACGGAAAGGCGGACAGACGGGCGGGAACGCCAGCACCATTCAACCACCCTCAAGAATTCGTTTGTTTGTCTCACTGTAGAGAGAGCGTGTGGAAATGCAAACGAGAGAGGCGCTGCGAGAGACGGCCGGCCTTCCCTACGGATCGTCAGCGAGTGAACTCCTGGTCTGGACGTCCGCTCCCACAAAACGGATTGAGTTATCTTGGCATCATAAGGCAGAAGAATAACCATCCTCAAATTTCCCCATCAGCATCGACAAACACAGCAACAGAAGTGTCCCTCATCCGACTGAGAAGAAGAAGAAAAGCAACTCATCCCGCCTTCCGCCCCGCCGTAGTCCCCTCCCAACCAATCCAGTCCGCAATCGACAAGAAACCAACCCACCGTCCGCGAATCCTCCACAGGCTGCTGCAGAAATGAGACTTTTGCCCGATGGATTGAAAGAGGGACCCCGGACGCAGCTGACGGGCGAACGCACTGCCCAGCGGGAATCGGGATGTGGCAGGGGGTCGCATGCCACGTCGCGTGCCGACTTTCCCAGTCCACCACCAAAATCCGGTCTTCAACCACCCTTGGCGGTGGGTGGTTCGTACCCAAAAAAAAGAAAGACACCCCTTGGGCCTGCGCCCCGTATTATCCTATTCCCATCTGGTGTCAGCCCGCGCGGCGAACAGGACGTCTCCGAATTCAATTCCTCCTTGGCGAAATCTGCACCGCATCTGCTTTTGGATTCCTCCTCGCGCGCGCCCAGAAGAGGGGGTGATTCTTGCTTCCTTTCATCGTCTGTTTCCATTTTCTCTCTTCCTCAACCTTCTGTTTACCGCTTGAGCGTCCATCTTGGGGGTAGAAACGGAAGAAAATCTTACGACGACCACGACGACTCCTGAATCCATCAGATGGGCCACCAACCGCGTCTTCATCACGACAACCCCCTAGGCAACAAGCGCAGCCGATAAGGGAAAACCACACGCCAGAACCCACCCTGCATCGACTCCGATACCCGCGCTTCTCTCAAACCTAAAATCACGACGTCAGACTTCTTACTTTATTTTCCTCAACGGTCGAACTATCCCATCCGTAGAGCAAGCCACCCGAAGAGAAGCTTAAAACCCCCTTAGCTCGGTCCTACTCACCACGGGCTCAAGCTTCACGGCACGCAGGATCCGAGAGAGCCGCGACCTCCCCCAACGCCCAAAGTCGCAACCAGTCACGACATCGAACACAGCAGGCGACGACATCCTCACCTCAAAACCTCACCTCCACATCCCGAAAACGAAAACAACAAAACAGAAATAGGGGTCCTCCCCCAGAAGAACACCCCGTCACAATGACGTTCCCGGCCCCAGCCCGCCCGAGGCGCGGCCTGGTCCTGATAGCGACCTTCTTCATCCTCACGACCCTCTTCCTCGCCGCCGCCCGCCTCGCCTCCCTCGACCTCCCCGTCCTCCACCGCCGCCCCGCCGCCGACGACAAGCCCAAACCCTCCCCCGCCGACGCCCCCATGTCCTACGGCCAGACCGCCCGCCCGGGCTTCACCGACCTCTCCGTCCACATCGCCGCCCTCCCCGACCGCCACGTCCCCTCCCGCGCCAACCCGGGCCGCCGCCTCGTCGTCGTCGGCGACGTCCACGGCATGCGCGCCTCCCTCGAGTCCCTCCTCGCCTCCCTCAACTTCGACGTCGCCCGCGGCGACCACCTCGTCCTCGCCGGCGACATGATCAACAAGGGCCCCGACTCCCGCGGCGTCCTCGACCTCGCCATCCGCCTCGGCGCCTCCGCCGTCCGCGGCAATCACGAGGACAGGGTCCTCCTCGCCCACCGCGGCCTGAAGAAGTCCAGCGTCGCCGAGGAGGACGCCCACGGCAACCCCGTCCCCGAGACCGACCCCGCGGCCGAAGCCGAAGCCAACGACGACGACGACGACCTCGAGATCCCCATCTTCCCGCACGGCGACTCCGCCGAGCGCGCCACCGCAAAGTCCCTCTCCCGGAAACACATCGACTGGCTCTCCGCCCTCCCCGTCATCCTCGACGCCGGCTCCGTCGAGTCCCTCGGCAACCTCGTCGTCGTCCACGCCGGCCTCGTCCCGGGCCTCTCTCTGCAGCAACAGGACCCCTGGGCCGTCATGAACATGCGCGGCCTCGTCTACCCGCGCGAGGAGCTGCGCCGCAAGGAGGCCAAGAATGCCCTCGAGGAGTACCGCAAGGCGCACACGGCCTCGCCGGGCATCACGGACAACATGATCGAGCAGGAGCACGAGCGGCGCCGCAAGCCCGAGGACCGCTCCATCGCCGTGCCCACAGACCGCCGCGACGGCTCCAGCAGCTGGACAAAGGCCTGGAACAAGCACCAGGTCAACCTCCCCGAGGCGGAGCCCCGCACCGCCGTCGTCTACGGCCACGACTCGAAGCGCGGGCTCAGCGTCGACAAGTACACCTTCGGCCTCGACTCCGGGTGCGTCAACGGCGGGGAGCTGAGCGCGCTCGTCATCGAGGCCACGGCGGAGGGCGTGACGCACGCGGTGAAGAGCGTCAAGTGCGAAAAGGACGACGGGAAGAAGGGCAAGAAGGAGAAGAAGAGCAAGAAGGAGAGGAACAGGTGATGAGTAGAAGGTGAAGAGAAGACAGACAAACAAGAAAAAAAGCAAGACACACTGGCTATGAGATAGAAGCCGGCAAATGAAAAAACAGGACAGCTAGGTCCTCGACGAGCGAGATACAGCTAGAGGACCGTTAATACTGGGACACCCGGGATGGGTTGGACGGATTGTACAAATGGGAGTCACGACGGGACGGACGGAAGTCCGTATCCTTATGAGCATAGTAATATCATTGGCGTTTTCGATTTCAAGATCATTCCGTCCGTATTGTGAGGAACCAGAGGCAAGCGTAGCTGCGAGGGACCATCCAGTCAGAACAAGCCAAATGAGTATCCTGCAACCAAAGGATAGTTCATATTCACGTCTTCAGATCACAGGATCGGGCACGACAGCATAGTAACCAAGCAATCTATCACGGGATTTTTTGCTATGTTTGCCTCGCTCTAAGATATCATTCACAACCGCCCTCGACTTCCCTTCCCCTTTTGATCTCTGTTGTATCCATTTGGGTGTATCCGTCTCATTAAGTCATTCTCACGTCATGATTTGAGTAATTTGCCTTGCCTCCTCGCACCACGCCTCCTTTTTCCCTCGGCGTCCCCTGATTTTGGTATTTGTACTGCTTATCGCATGATTTATGCCTGGACCTTGGCCTTGATGATGTCCTTGAGGGTGACGGCGTCGGCGGCGAACTTGGAGATACCCTCGCGGAGCTTCTCGACGGCCATCTGCTCCTCGTTGAAGTCGAAGCGGAAGAGGGACTCGTCGTTGATGTACGACTTCTTCTCGATGTTGAGGCTGGCGGCCTTGGAGGCGTCGAGCTTCTTGGGGACGGGGGCGTCGGAGTTGAGGAGCTCCTCAAGCAGGTTGGGCTGAGCGGAGAATGTTAGTTTTGCTGTAAATCTCAGGGTTGGCACGAGGCGCAGGGGCTCTTACAGAGATGGTCAGGTAGTCGCAGCCGGCAAGCTCGGTGATCTCGCCGATGTTGCGGAAAGAGGCGCCCATGACGATGGTGTTGTAGCCGTACTTCTTGTAGTAGTTGAAGATGGTCTCGACGGACTTGACACCGGGGTCCTCCTCCTTGGAGTAGTCCTTCTTGGTGGCGGCCTTGTACCAGTCGAGGATACGGCCGACGAAGGGGGAGATGAGGTAGGCGCCGGCCTCGGCGGCGGCAATGGCCTGGACGATGGAGAACATGAGGGTGAGATTGGTGTTGATGCCGTGGTCGCGCTGGAGGATCTCGGCGGCCTTGATGCCCTCCCAGGTGGAGGCGATCTTGATCAGGACGCGGTCCTTGGAGATGCCCTGCTCCTTGTACAGCTGTTGTTGTCGCGGTTAGCGGGGGATTCTCTGTTGCTCCGGCGGGTTCATCAGAGGAGACGTACGTCAATGATGTGCAGGGCCTTGTCGACGGAGGCCTTGGTGTCGAAGGAGAAGCGGGCGTCGACCTCGGTGGAGACCTTGCCGGGGACGACCTTGAGGATCTCCTTGCCGAACTCGACGAGGAGGGAGTCGAGGGCGGCGTCGACCTGGTCGTCGACGGAGCCGCCCTTCTTCTTGGCGTAGGCGACGGCCTCGTCAATCAGCTTGGCGTACTCGGGCTTCTTGGAAGCGGCGAGGATGAGGGAGGGGTTGGTGGTGGCATCCTGGGGCTTGTACTTGGCGATGGCTGTCGGACGAGATTGTGGTCAGCGGGCGTTGTTCTTGGGTCTAGTTGTTGGTGGTAGTTGATGGGCTATGGGAAAATAGCTCATCTGGTGAGAGAAGAGACCCCCGTCCCGGAACGGTTGGGGAGAATCGATGGAGGGGTAACACGATGGCGGGGTGACGGCGACGGAAGGAAACTTACAGGCGAAGTCGCCGGAGTCAGAGACAACGACGGTGCCGGTGGACTTGAGCTGGTCGAGAGAGGTAGACATTTTGGGTATATTTTGAGATGAGGAGATTCGAATTGAGTCGAGATGCAGAGACGTGGACGAGATGCAAGAGGTGGGATGATGATCGGTGGTGGTGGAGGTATTTACATATATATAGACTTTTGGTTGAGCTTAGGCCCACACTTGGGGGTACATGCACAAGTTAAATCGCAGTAAAATGGACGACGGCAACCGGTGCAAGCAGCAGCATTGGACGGGATGAGCGATTAGTGAGTGAGTGTGAGTGGTAGCGTACACCTTGTCCATAAACGCAGTTCAGACCGTCGACAGAGGCGTAGGTCCCGTCGTGGTCACAGCCATCCAGCGACATTTTCTCTGAGGAAAGCGGGGTGGGGTCCCTTGTCCCCGTCCCTCCTCCGTCCCTCCCTCTCCCACCTTGCACCAGACACGACGGGGACCTCTCACACGCAACCACTCGACACAGCAACGAGCACCCCTCAGTGGAATTCCATTCCCCTGCCGCCGTTTCTCGACTTGCGTCCTTGATTCCGCCCAGCGGGAAAACCGAATGAATCAGTGGCATTGGTTCTGCACTGCTGTCCCTACCTTAATCTCGAACCTCCTCGCAGGCGGCAGCACATCCCCAACGCGCGTTGAGTAATGTCAGGCCAACTCGCCCTCGCCCCATCTCACACGGTTGCCCCTCCATGACCCAGAATCATCGTCATACCCCCAGTATTTCCGCGACCTCCCAAAACACTTCAGCAGAAAGTAATACCCGCAGTGCAAGGCCGTTTTGACGCTGCAGACGCTACGGTCCCCCCGGCGGGCGGGCGGTCGCTGTTTTCGGCCGTTCGCGAAACGTATCGGATTTTACCTCGTCTCTGGTTTCGGAGAAAATGGAAGAGACGCCGCAGGTCGGGTTTTGCTGAGCTAATCCACCTTTTGCGCTTACGGATAATATCACCGGTGACCACCTGCAAAAATCCTACCGCAGCTTCCAGTTGCAGCTTTTGCCCGTCCGTAACCCGGAGTTACAGACCAAACGGCATGGCGACATCGGACACGTGGTTAACCGAATATTTCTCGCCGGGCCCAAGGTTCCCTCTCTCTTTCTCTAAGGTAACCCCTTTTTTCCCGACGACTGACAGCAAGTCATTCAAGAACGAAAAGCAGAAGCACAAGCCATGCGTCCTCCCATCGTGTCCAAGGTCGAACAAATAGTTGATATAACTGTAGCACAGACCCGCGGCGTCATCGCGGGAAATAGCCACAAAAATTGATGTCATTCCTGCTTCTTATGACATCACGTGATGGGTCCTTGGGGCCGTTTTTCCCTCTCTTTATGTACTCAAAGATGAAGGGTCACCCTGCCCCGACTCCCGGATCCATATAATCTGGCTGGAGTCGTTATCCAGCGTGCTGCAGAACCGGGAGACGCGATGCATTGCGTTATTTACGGCTTCGACTTCGTGAGGCTGTATGGACGTGGACCCGGTCCAGTCAGCAGCAGCCTTCCTTGACATGAGACGGAATACGCTGAACCACTGCACCGAGACGAGAAATACAATTCCGTCTCCTTCTAGACTCAGTCTATCCTCTGGAAGTCAATGGCAAAGCTACACCGCAGCGCAGTACCGCGCCAATGTCAGATCAGATATATCGCCAAGTTCCACGTCACGTATCAGGAAACTCCGGGTCCAGGTCCAGATAAACATTCTCTGACATTCCATCACCCTCCCTCCTCCTACCGTGCAAAGCCTCCAGTTTCCGGCGCGACTCGCTGCAGTGGGGGGGGGGGTACGGTACGTCGGATGGAACGGGGGTGTGGTAGGTGTGCTTGTGTGTGTGCCATGGAACATTGTACCGAACCGGCCGACGATCCCGACCGCTCGCTTCGCCCGCTTGCGCGAGATGCGACTGCCGCCGCACCGGAGGGGGGAACCCTTTGTTTACGTAACTCCGAGGAGCACCCAATGGCTGAGCATCCTCGGAAATCCACATCGCAGGTTGACTTCCGAACGACGGGAGTTGCAATCCATTGCGTACAAAGACAAAGGCCAGTTTGGCAAAGACCTTGGGCGTTATCATTCATTTATAACGCTACTGGCATATTATGTATGACTTTTTTGGAACGTCCCTCCTCCTATCCTTGGTATCCTTTTTTTCCGTACACTTAATCCTCCGTGATGTCGCCGTACTCCCACATGCCTAGCCTCTCCTCCTTCGCCCTGGCCTCGACCTCCTTCAAGTGCTTGAGGTAAGCGGCGTGCTGGCTGCTGCGCTCCCACGCCTTGAGCTTCTTGGGAACCATGGCCAGACCGTTCGCCACGATCTCCTTGTTGATGGAGTCGTTCGGGCCGGGCTTCTTGTCGCTAACGTTGTAATCGAACAGGGTGATGTAGCTGATGTTGTCCTTGCTGTCGATAAAGTCGAAGCTGGCAACCAGCTCCTTGCCCTCGGTGAGTTGGGCTATGCAGTCGAGGGCCTCCTGGTAGTATTCGGCCGCAATCGGAAGCTGCAGGAATGACAGGGAAGCGTCGATAGCCTGGGCCTTGAGCTTTTGCGTAGTGAACTGCGGCTGGTCCAGAGGACGCAGCTTGGACCAGGGCTGCTTTTCCGTGTTGCCGTAGTCAATGTAGACGACTTCGGCGACCTTCGCCGCGCGGTCATTTGAGCGGATGCGGGCACGGTACCATTGGCCATCGGCGGAGAACTTGGCAGCGACAAAGTCTCCCTTGTTCGGCGCGTCACCGATAGGCTTAGCGTTCTTAGAGTCCAGGTGGAACTTCTTGAAGTCGTTCATCAGAGTGGTGAGAGCCGCGGTGCCCTTTCCAATCTCCTGGATCTTAATCTTTCCGTTACCATCAATGTTGGTGATGACAACGTCACGGTAATCCTTCGGCTTGTTGTCGTAGGCCTCAGGGGTGTCGTTGGTAGTCTCAACCTCGACGGCCTCCTCTTCCTCGTCCTGAGACGGGTCCCAGCTGTGCCAGAGACCCTTACGGCCTTCCTTGGCCTTCTTCTCGGCGCCGAAGAGCTCGCTGGCGTTGCCGGACTTCTCAGCAGAGTAAGCGTGGACAGATGCCAGTCCCTCCTCGACGAGGATCTTGGCGAAGCTCTCGCGGTTGACGTAGAGGTCGCCGATGAATCCTCCTACCTTGTCGATGTCGTAGATGTCGACCTCGACGTCGCGCTGGTTCAAGCGGCGGGTGGCAAGGTCAGCCGCCTCCTCGCCGAACTCCTCGCCCTTCTCGCCGCGGGGGCCCGGGGCACGAGGAGCGCGCACACCACCGAGAACCAGAGTGACCTTGATGTTCTCGCGGGGGATGAGAACGCTGAAACGGGAACCAGACTTGACGTAGTCGACGACGGCGGGGATCTTCTTCTGGCGTTGCAAAGTGCCAAGCTGAATCTTGGCCTTCTGTACGTCGGTGATATCAACAAACGACTTGAGCTTAGGTGCCTTGCCAGACCAGATACCCTTCTTCTCTTCCTTGGCCTTCTCCTGAGCAGCAAGGAGCTCGTCGTAGTTGGAGGCGCGGTCGGTGTCATCCTTGCGGTGACGGATAACAGTGGCGTAACCCTCCTCGACCAGCATAAGGTTGATGTTCTTGCCCTTCTCAGTGACAGTGGCAACCTCGCGAGCTTCGAAGCCCTCGGTGGCAGGCTTGTTTCCATCAATAGTCACATGAACGTGCTTTCCGATGAGCTTCTTGCGCAGGAACTCCTTCGCCTCGTCTTTGTAGGGCGCCTCAGAAGCCTCATTGGCACGGGGGCCACGAACACTGCTCAAGTTGATGCGCTTCTCGGTAGAATCGGATTTTGTTCGGACGATGATCTGGTCAGCACCAATGATCTTGGACACAATCATGTCTGATTGGGAGCCGCCAGCCTTGGCGACGTGGTGCTGGTGCAGACGAAGCTTCTTTCCCTGGGCGGTCTTCTCGGCAGCGCGGAGGCTGGCCATCTTCTCGCCGAGCATGGTGGAGTGGAAGTCGTTGCATCTCGCCAGACCCTCTTGCAGGAGGAACTCGGCGATGTTCTTGTTGCCGTTGGGGTGGATCAGAGCAGCGACGAGCTGGCCCTGAGCGCTAGCGCCAACGATGTCGACCTTGACGCGGCGCTGGAGCAGCCTCTCCTCAACGAAGTTCTTAGCCTCGTTGCCGAACTCCTCCGCGGGCTGGGTCTGGCCGGTGGACTGGACCGTTCGCTCGGTAGCAGGCGTTCTGACTCCGGCAAGGAGCGTCATGACCTGCACGTGCTTCTTATCCGAGAGCAGAAGCCGCACAAGCAAGCGGTCACCGCTGAGAACTCTCTCGACGATACCATCGACGGTCTTGCCCTTCCACTGCTTCATGAAGTCCGGGCCGCCGAGATCGTTCTGAACCTCAATGTTGCCACCGGTGCCAGCCCAGAGACCCTTGCCCTCGTTCTTGGCCTGGGTCTCCAGTTGCCGCAGGTTGTCGATGCGCTGGAGGATCGCCTCGTCGTCTTCCTTGCCGCCGGCCTCTTCTCTGACCTTGAGCCAGCCAGCCTTGACGGCTTCATCGGGGAGGGAAGGGCCATCGCGGGAGAGCAGGGCAGAGACGAATTCGCGACCAGACTTTACGGTGTAAGCTACTGTGCACTGGATCTGCTTGCCGACGACGAGCTCGCGGAGGTATTCTCTTGATTGGAAAGCGAAGGGCTCGTCGCCTTCCTTGCTGAGGCGAGGCGCGCTGACGTAGGCGAGGGAGACGGTCTTTTCGGCTTTGGGGTTGTTCGGGGCGGTAAGGACCAGGGTGTCGCCGCTCAGCACGCTCTTGACCTTGGCGAAAAAGGGTTTCGACATGATGGGCGATCAAGAAGCGGCTGGGATACTAGAGGGGATAACAACTATGCAGGTTAGCGCATTGTTCTACCCAAGCTGTTTGCAGCGACCGTTTCCATGTCTTGCTTTTGCCGACTTAGACAGTGTTCTTCGGCAATTGATACGACATGATGTTGGAAGCAATGCTGATCTACTCTACAAGAACAAGTGCCTTAGAAGCACTGCTTGGAACAAAGTTCTGGCGCAAAGTGCCTGTCTAGAGGGCTGCTGTTTTGCTCAAGGGAAGCTCACGTGGGTAGGTGCAGCTTGCGCGGGCTCCAGCAGTAGCTTCCTTCGGCGTCATGCTCAAGCTTCCCTCTGGAGACAGTTTGCGGCGAAAAGAAAGCATTGACTTACTTGGGAGAATGGGGGATGTAGAGGAGGATGTGAAGATGGAATTCGGAGGGGGAAGAGTAGAAGGTGGGAAAGTATGGAAGTCAATTGTCCGATGAACATTCGACAGTCGTACCGCCTTTTTGACAGCTTGCCTCAATTTCGGCCGGCCTCGAGCAGGCAAGTGTGGGGAAAGGAGGTTCAGGGACCACCCGGGGACAGGGGTAGCAAGCCGCCGGCGGCCAGTAGCAGTGGCGAGCGGCCAAGCGAGAGCGGGGTTGCGGCGACCTTAGGTAAGGTACTGCTGTTCTGGGTGCTGGCCGCTGGGTGTTGCTAGGGGGCAGCTTCTTCCTGAAGCGTCTCACCCCAGCTTGACCGCCGGAGGTGAGACCTGTGGAGAGTGTTGTCCCGATCCTTTTGGGAAGCCGTTTCTTTGGTTGCTCTCTTCTCTGTAGCCTAGCAGAAATGATTTCCTGAAGAATAGAAGACGAGTTGATGAAACATCTCTCTCGTCGTGGTAACAAAAGTGAAGCAATTAGGTCAATGTTCGAGGTGTTCACGTCATCCTTTACCCCTCACAGTGCAAGGACCAAGCCCCACCTACACCAGCACACGGGATATTGACTGTGAAGCATGAAGAGGATATTCCACGATGCGCAGCGAAAGGATTTACGGTGATTTTGTTTATTGCGGAGGTAGATGTTCCGAGTCGCACTATGTCAAAGCCTAGATTCCATCACTACAACTTTGGTGCTTGATTGAGCGAGCCTCTGACGGACCAGCTCTTCTCAACCCCGCCTCGGGCCACCATCCGTCCAGCCAAGAGCTAGCTTAGATACCGCAGACTTAGTTGGAGATACCAATGACACCTGGAGTGACGGATTAGTCTTTATTCATGGCATTCTGTTCGATGATCACGTACCGCAGGCGGGACGGGGACCGGCGTTACCGGTCTTGAGGGACTCCTCGTTGCCGCCCTTGCCGAGGTCGTCGGTGCCGCCGTGGACAACGATGGTGCGGCCGATGACGGACTCGGGGCCGATCAGCTTGACGAAGGAGTCCTCGGTGGAGCCCTTGGAGTTGCCGTTGGCATCGGTGTCGATGTTGCCGAGGTCACCGACGTGGCGGTTGGTGTCGGTGGGAGCACCGTGAGTCTTGTTGTGGGGGTTGACTGTAAAGATGCCTCTGTCAGCTTCGTCGTCCTTCTCGCGGTACCTCGACCGTCCCCGGGCCCGGGTCCGGCTCCCGAGACGGCGCCGGGGTAAAACTCACAGTGAGGGCCGGCGGAGGTGCAGCCGTTGGTGTTGTCACCGAAGGTGTGGATGTGCATGCCACGCTTGGCGTTGGCGTCCTGGCCGGAGATGTCCCAGGTGATCTTGGTAGGGGCGGACTCGGACTCCTGCTCGAAGACGATGGAGCCGGTGATCTTGGAGTCACCACGGACGACGCAGACTGCCCATCAAGGTGGTTAGCAAGGCTGACTCTGGATTGAGTGATCTTCGCCCGTTTCCTCCCTCCCTCTGCAACGCTAGCATCCCGGGCTCTCTCCCCACGGCGGGAACGACGGGCAAAGCTTCTGTGATCCGGACCAAACGGATCGAGAGCAGCGACGCAGGGAATGACGAGGATGGAGATGGTGGTTCGTCTCAGGTTGAAGATTGGCCAGAGGGCGAGATAACTCGCAGGCGAGGGCCATGTCGCAGAGCCCATCAGGGTGTTTGTTTGCCCAGCTGGCCGTACGAAAACCCGCTCAATCCAGCGCAAATTGGATGGTTGGACTGCGTTACCCCTCCATCCCGGCGCCGCTGCTCTGCACTAGGGGGGTGACGGGAGGGTGGTTGCGTGTTCTGGTATTAAAAGGGTCCGACTCACCAGCCTTGACCATTTTGACGGTTTGTTTTGTTTTGTTTTTTCTTAAAGGTTGTTGTTTGGTTTCTTGCTCAGTCGGCAGTGGTTGTTGAGGAAGGAGAATGACGAAGGTTTAGACGCAAAGAGGGGAAAAGAAGAGAGAAGTACCTTATGGACCGCTCGGTTTTTTGCACAAAGGGGGCGGGCTGGCACAAGCTTGCACAAACTCTGCGACGCCCAATGAGGTCTTCCATCTCCTCTTCTCCTCCTCCCGTCGCAAGGGGAACGGGGGAGAGCACTGGAAAAGGGACACAATTCGGAATTCCGAGGAACCAGAGCTCGCCCCTCCGTATCCGTACAGAGTCCAGCGGAATCTCTGCGTGAAGGTACATCATGGTGGGGAAGAGGCTTGCCCCGCATCGACATCCCGTCATCGCCGTCATCCTCAGCAAAGCGGGATCTCATGGCGCATTGCCACGAGATGGTTGGCTGCGGCCGTCTGGGGGGTGCTGTCAACTGCTTACAAATGGCGGCTTCGATGCTACTGTTTTCGAGGGAATATCTTCGCGCCCGGCAAAACAGCACCAGATAGGGTGCCGATATTCGGGCTTTCCCGTCTGCACGGCGCGCCCTCCGGACTTTAAGATTACCGAAGTCTGGGGCCGACATCGAAGAACACGAACTTCGCTACCAACAGAGCCAAGAAACGATGCAGCTTTCCAAACTTGATGCCAATTTTCCGAGAAAGCCTTCAAATCGTCCTGACATTTCACTTACATCCTGCGGCTGACGGTTGGCGGCACCTGGCTCGGTCCTAATCAGCAGCTTGGACGGCTCCTAGCAGTGAACGAGAAGTTCATTCAACCTCAACGTCAAGTGAGATATAGGATAACAAAAGAGGTAAGATTTGGCGAATACCAGACAGAGAAATGGATGAGTGACTCAAGTGCGTAATAGAAGAGCAAAGTAGAAACCCTCTTGCAACCCAAGTTGACGGTATTCATTCATAGCTCAAGGTTCAATTCGCTAGGATCCGTATGGTGCTTTATCCAAATACCTGGCCTTCCCGTCCCCTATATCCCAGCTTATTTCTATACTCATCCTTGTTGCGCACTTGATCCATTGGTCCGTGTCTTCGATGATGTCTAATAGGCATCTCATCCGTTCTTGTCCCGCATCCGCTACCTCAATAAAGCAATACATCTTATAATCTATGACGTTCATGAGATTCTCGGAGTAAGAAGGAATTGGTTTCACGGAATGGTCATCTTTTCGACAACATATTGAGGAAACAAGCGTTGTGTATGCGCGCATGAGTTAGCTGCTGCCTCCATGGCAACACTGGACAGTAAAAAGACAAGCACGGCTAGGTCTTGTATCTCTTTGGTGGAGTGATTTATATCTTCCTTTCATATGATGACTGCCGTATACCAAATTTTCTCCCGTCAGGAAAAGCTGTGATGAAAAGGCGCGAAGGCACAGCTTTTGAGGAAGTTCGCCTGTGTATCGCCCACCGTACATAACTGATGCAAAACCATTTCATACTTCAATGTGAGTTTCTTCCTCTACGCATCACGTCCACTTACAATTTCCGGCAGCGTGACCCCTCCAATCGTGGCTTGCAGATATTCTGTTGCTTTAGGTTCAGGGCTACGCGCCGAAAAGCCAGCCGTCAGCACCATCGGCATTTGACTCCGCGAACGCCGGGTGGCTTGGGGAATTGACCCTTCCGACAGGCCTCCAATGGCGCGATTATGCCGCAGCGAAGTCGATAAAGTCATCGAAACGCCTTGTCGTTGCTGAGCTGAGCCTTTGTCTTCACACGCGTCCAGTCGTGGTGTTGGCAGGGTTAGGCCAGCTTGAATCAATAAAGTTGGGTTGCTACTATCGAGAGTTTCGCGCATTGTTCACCATGAGCTGCACTAGCATGGAGCTCTGGCCATATGGCGGGATGGCGGGGCGAATCGAGATGCAGCTTCGTTGACATCACTGTCGTATCTAGCGGTTTCCGGCATAGCAGATGCGAGAAAAAAAAATATCAGCTGCACACGTCGGTATACAATAGAGCAGCAAGTCAACCAGTCGGAAGTCGGCTGCCGCATGATAATCGTACTCGCAAGTCGTAGAGGAAGGAATCCGGGAGGCTCAAAACCCAGTGCAGGGTGACAGACGAGGGCGGTTGCAGCTGGAACAAACTTGAAGCAGGTTGGGTGCCCGCCGTCGCTCCTGCATTAAAGGCGTCGGGCATTTGCTGGCGGGGGATTGTCGACGAGAGCGGAGACCAATCCCGTGGCGCCGTGTCATTCAAATGCAGTCAGCCCTACGGAGAGTGCTTCGCAGGACGTGAACACTGCTCGTTCGGACACGGCGTCGGGTATCTGGAAACGCTCATCCAAATCTTGACAGATGCCGCGGCCGGGAGCGACATTGTACGAAAGCGAAGACTCGAAGACAATGGTTGAAGATTCCGGGGTCCAATGTCAGAGACAATGGAGAGAGCAGATGCGGACGACAACGGGGCCCTGCCAAGTCTCCCGCATCGCGCGGACCAGGGGCCAAGATCGATCCTGGAGGGACACGTGGTGTCAAGTGACGGCGGTCTGTTTGCTTTTCATCTTTGCAGGGCGTACTCGGCAGTCGTGGGCTTCCTGAGAGCTCTGGGCGGCACGAGTTTGTGGTTTGGAAGAGCAGTTCCGATGCGTGATTTCGCCTATGTTGTAGGCATCCGTACTGGATGGTGTGATGAAGAGTCCGGCGCGGCGTGTCTCACAGAGAATGTGAAGGCGGATATTGCATGCTCATCTCCTTCCTTTTTCGCCTTGCGCTTCGCGAAGTTTAAGCGACCGTTGGAATCTTGGTGAATCTTGGGACAGCTTGGGAGGAGGTCCCGCGGGTCGCGACGAATGGTCCTGGTCGGCTTGTGTGGGCGAGGATACGAGAATGGGGTTCGCTAGCAGATTAATATCCACTGGTAGGTAGGGACCCCGAGTTGTTGGAATATTCCGTGCGGTCAGAGCGCATTTGCAGAGTCGAATAGGCGACATACAGGGCCAGTCCATGAAAAAATCCGATGGGTCAAGTGCGCGGTTAGTCGAAATACGAGGCTCAAACGTGACTGCCCGCGAACGTGTGAAGCCATCTTTGGTATGTCGGCTGCGAAGAGGGGGGTGACCACCCAGCATGTCGGGGATGTCTGTCAATGGTCAGCAAGCGGGAAAACACAGATGCTGCTCGTGAGCTGACGACAGACGCCGCCGAAGAAGCAAGCAGGCAGGCAGGACGCGAAACTGTTGTGAGGAAGGACAAGCAGGAAAGATGAAGTACCGTCGCAATATTTCCAGTCCTGGTTGATGAATGTCACAGGAAACGAAACAGTTGAGAAATTGTGATTGGCTCCCCCCGCTGTATTTTCCGGTTGCCAGCACTGACTGGCGACTGGGCTGGTGCTTCAGGGAGTTGAGTTTGGGCGTCAGGGTACGTACATGCACCTTAATTGGACGACCTGCGAAAGTATCTTTCCTGCCGAATTTCCCCTGCAGATACTTACCGAGCACTGTCCCGCTTCCTGCCAAAAATCTTTCGACTTTCACCTCCACTGGCACCTGTAATCGCCGCCTCCGTTCGTCCCAGTTGAAGCTGGTGCGGCCAAGCCAAGACTTGCAAGGCCCGTCGCCAATTTCTAAACGAATTCTTCCTCTGCGTTTTGGGGGTAATTTGTGACAGCTTACGGGCAGGTGGTAAACGTGGGCAGCTCCAGCTCCAGCTTGTTCCCGTCTTGTTGGTGCCTTACCCCAATGGATCAAGTCCAAGACCACACTTCACCCTCCACCGCACGCGCACAACTTCCTTGGGTATTCGTACCTGACCTTCCCTAAATCATTATTAGCGATAATTGTTGCAGAGAAAGCCGTCTTTTGGTGCTGTCGCCTTTTCTTCACACCTTCACTACACAACCGAGTGACCGACGCCTAAACAACCGCCCCCATCTTCTGACCGAGATTCCGGGAAAAGAAGAGGAGAAAGGGCTGTCGACCTCACTGTTGCTTTCGCATCTATACCTCCCCGCCCCCAAAAACTCCGACCGGGTAAGGCGTGTCGAGGGATACCGAAGCCGAAACACATACGACGAACACGGCCCTGTGCGACTCGACTCACCAAGTCCCGTCCGTCTCCAGCAAAAGGCCTCAGTGCTCACAAAGTCCCTGGCACAATCCTTGGGCAAGACACACAGACGGCGGACCTTTTCACCTTGGTCTTGCTCACCATTCCTTGCCTTGCCTTGCGCTGCACCGACAGCCCCCAACCAAAACCCGACGACGCTGGACTGCACTGGACGCTGGGCCGCTAGACGCTGACCTCGCGAATCTCCGGTCCCGTTTGTTTTGTGACGAGTCCCCAGCCCCGGTAGTGTGGCTTGGTCGTCGCTCTCGCCGGCCTACCCAGGCAGACGCACCGCACCATACTGCCCAGTGCCTCTACCGCTTGTTTGTCGCCATCAGGATCAGGTCCTCTCGACGACTGCCAGCGCTTCTCGCACGACACTGCCATCTTGGATACGGAAAATCCTACGCGGGTTGCTCTATTCTGTTATTCCGATCGCCTGTCCTGTCGTGGAGTCCTTGCGTGCCCCGCGGCGGCTGCCTCCGTCGCCTTAGTCCTGGATCGATCAGCCCGACGACCCTTCCCCAACCTGCTGCCGCACATCACTACCAAGAGGGCCGCCCAAAGACGTCAGTCCTACCGATACCAAAGGCGAGACTGCGCCGCACCACTACCACCACCACAAGGCTCACCCCGCCATCATCCGGACGAACGACCGACCAACTTCATCCTTAAGCCTCACCAACTGTCATCCCCGATTTCTCGACGTCCCGGACTTGGGCGCATTCCCATCCGAATCCACGAGTAGCGGCGCATCGTGCCGTCAACCGTCAATCGTTCGACCTCGCTTCGATCAGATGCAATCAGCCCTCAACTGCCCGCTTGCGTCGACATAGTAGCTTGCGGTAGCGGCTGCTGACTTCTTCACGGACACATCGACACTTCCTGACTTTCCCACCCCGATCGCCATGTCTTTCCGCGACGGCCAGCGCCGGTATGGCCATGTGCCCCCCGTCCAGTACCCCACCCCAGACCATTCGCAAGATCAGTCTTCTCACCTCGGCCGACGCCCGAGTTTCAACAACGGTGACGATGCCGCCATGTTCGACCAAAATCGAGCGCAAGCCCACGGCCATCAGCACACACCTTCGCGAGGCGAAGACGAGCTGTTCCTGACGAGCCCGACTGGATCGAGCCATTCCGGAGGTCGACACAGCTACGGTTCGACAAACAATGCCCTCTCCGGCTACCAACATCAGTACCAAGCCTCGTCGCCTCCTTCCTCGTCTCACTCGACCTACAACCCCCAGGCCTTTGCGCGAACGCCGTCGACAGCGACATCGACCTCGCTTCCCTACCTTCCCCACCCGTCCCACCGATTCGCATCGACCACTTCGCCGACTTCTTACACTCCTCCTGCCGCGCCCGGCTACACGCCGTCTGCTTACAACCCGGCCGCCTACGCCGGCACCGCCGCCCCCCAGCGGCAACCGACATATTCTGGCTACAACAACTACAGCCAGAGCTACGGCTCCCCGACCTCGCCCCAACCCTCTGCGGGATTCGGCCAGTCGCCTCCTGCTTCATACCCTTCCTCATTCCAGCCGATGCAGGCGGCCGGAACCTCGCCCGCTCCGGCTTACGAGCCGTCGTACTCACAGTCCTACGGTGACGACTACGGCGCGTACGGTACGAATGGTGCCAACTCCACGTATGCGGCATCCGACACATCATCGACCCCATATCCGATCCAGTCAGAGATGCCTGTCGGGCCAAATTACGCTGCCGATCCCTCCTCTTACTACACCATACCCGCACGGTCCGACTCGGTAACGTCCCCGATTTCTTCGCCGCAGCTTCCACAACAGCAACATTCTCCCGGTTTACAACGACATCCGACCAACGCCCCCCTTCCCAGTCGCCCGCCGGAAGAGCCTACCTGGGACCCGAGCTCAACCCCCATCAACGAGGACCAAGCTCAACTCATGCAAGACATCGAGGCGGAACTTGGCGGACGACATCGTCCTATGCCCATCAACGGCGGTCAATTCTCCGACGACGAACTTCAAGGCTTGCGGCGTTACAACTCTGATTTGGCCAACATGAACCCGTCGACCGCTTCGAATCGAAACAACCCCACTCTTACCGTGGATTACGAAGATGACGACGACCCGGAGGGAACTGCGGGGCTGCTTGCCATGCAGCAGGCCGACCTGGAAGACCGTCGATTCAGCAACATGGGAGTGATATACGATGCGACGGCGGCTAGCAACGCTCTTCAAACCATGCCCGAGGAGCAGAGCGATGGTACCGACTATGGTGGGATGGATCTGGGTGCCCTTGCTGGGGGCTACGCTGGCAGTCTGGCTTACGGCAGTAACGTGCCGGTACAAGACGGATCGCGTCCGCTACCTAATCCGAACGACTACTCCCAGGCGCCCGAATTCAGAAACGCACAAATCGACTACGGAGGTACCGGTGGACTACAAGCCCCCACTACTCACCGCCTGAGCTTCGACGAGGGCGACGCTGAACACGTTTCTCTTAACTCGAGGCAGAGTGGCAGCGAGTCACCGTACAAGGAGGACTATCCCGACATCTTTTATCACCCAGGCCTCACGAATAGGCCCCTTCCGGCATTGCCAGGTCCGGGAAGCGACACGAGCTCCATGCTCTCAGCACAGCCGTCTCGTAGCTACCACTCGCACTCTCTTAGCAACGACTCCCGCACCCTGTACGCGGATAGTTCCGACTTCATCCAAAGCACGACGACGCTCAACTCGGCCAACTCACCATTCCCTGAGCGATCCATTTCTTTGAGCCACAACCATACCACTCAGGTTCCAGTGCAGACTCCTGCACGATCACGGACAGATGCAGCCGATGAGCGGAGAAAAATGGCCAGGCACCTGCAGCAGCAGCAACACCTGGCGGCGCAACAGGGATCACCATACGGTTCTGACCTCGAAACGTCGTCGTCGATAGCGTATGATTTCACGTTGCCCACCGGCCGCAAGAGGAAGTTCGTCCCCTCAAAATTGACGTCTGGCGATCTTAGGAGGTGCACGGAGCCGTGGGCCTTGAGCACAATTGCGGCTTGGATTCGAGAGATGGCCGATGGCGAACCCGACTTGAAGCAGAAGACGGTCGAAGAAGCGTTGCTCAAGCTCTTCACGGCCAAGGTTCCCACCATCAATGTGGCCGACGCAGAACTTCTCAGTGCTCGGGTGTCTCAGTTGATGCTGGACGCGGGCGTCCTGGTACCGGAGGAGGAGTGGGTCAAGTTTGGCGGTGGCCAGATATCTGGTGTCCTGCCCCAAATGACAGGCGGTGGTTGCTATGCAGGGAAGCTGCATGAGGATGATTCCCAGGCTGGCCGGTGCTACTCGTACCACTGCATGAGAACGCTGAAGAAAGCCAATCTGGACGAGCTACTCCTAGAGGAGGTGAAGTCTGTCGACTGGAACGTCCACTACAAAGTTCAAGAGGCCGACATGGCCGAAAAGCCGAAGAAGGAGGTCGAGCGCCAACACGTACTGCACGAAATCGTCAACAGCGAAGAGTTATTCGTCAACCAGCTTGAGGTCCTTCGAGTCTTGTACAGGGACCACCTTCGGAACAGTCAACCGCCGATTATCCCTCCCAACAAGATCGATAAGTTCCTTCAGGTTGTGTTTGGAAAGGCCGACGCTGTACAAATCGTCAACAAAGATAATTTGTTGGCACAGCTGAAGTACAGACAACAAGAGCAAGGTCCGTGGATCAACGGTTTCTCGGACCTCTTCCGTGAGTGGATCCGAAAGGCCAGAGACGTCTACATCGACTATGCCTCCCAGTTCCCGTACGCCGAGTACATGGTGCGGAAGGAGTCTGACCGTAACCTACTCTTCCGCAATTTCCTGGATCAAGTGCAGAAGCACAAACGCTCTGAGCGTCTGGGTTGGCAGCATTTCCTAAAGACCCCGATTACACGTCTCCAGAGATACTCTCTACTGCTCGAGACCGTCGAAAAGAAATCAGTTCGAGACGACGAGGAGAAGGCCAACTTGGCCAGGGCAATCGCGGAGATTCGCAGCGTGACCATGGAATGTGACACCAAGGTCGCTGAGATGCAAAAGAAGGTGGAGATGATGGAGCTCAACTCCATGCTCGTGCTCAGACCCGGCTTTCACTCAGTCCTTAACCTCGACCATCTCGGCAGAGAGCTTATTAAGCAGGGCGATCTGCAGCGGATGGGTTCAAAGGGTGTGAGATGGGTTGACACACATGCGTTGTTGTTTGATCACTACTTCATTCTTGCCAAGGTTGTCAGTTCCAAAGACGGCAGAGGCGAGAAGAAGTATGACGTGTCGAAGGAGCCAATTCCGATGCCTCTGCTTTTCCTCGACACTATGAACGATGACCCGATATCGAAGCAGAAGGGTATCACTGCGCCCCTGGCTAGGAACGCAGGCGCTGGAGGCTCGGATCCAAGACTGAACAAGATCACAACAAATGGTACCGAGCGGCCGGGCCTCGAACATGTGGCTACGAGCTCCTCGATCGGATCGACCTCAACATCAAGACTCACACCATCCCTATCCACTGACCCTGAAGGCAAGATCCTTTACCCATTCAAGATCAAACACCTTGGCCACGAGACGTACACTCTCTACGCCACGTCAGGTCAGGCCCGGGCGGAGTGGGTTGAGAAGATCATTGAGGCAAAGACGCGCCATGCCAAGGCATTGTTCTCACAGAATGCCGAGCCGTTCCGTCTCCGAGTGCTTGCCGACAGTGCCTTCGTCTATGATGCGGCGTCTGCTGTCGGAAGACAGCCAGGTGTTCCTATCAGAGGCACCCCGCTCGACCGCGCCGTCCGCGAGATAGAGGAAGTCTATGGCCCTGGCAGGGGACCGGCTCCTGTGTGCAGGGCACAAGTCAACTGCGCCTGCGGATTCAACGTGTATGGCAAGTCCATCATCGCGATTGGAACAGACTACGGCGTGTACATCTCCGATGCGACAAATCCCCGTGGTTGGATGAGGGTAAGTTACTGTCTCCTAAGTGCATATGGCCTCGTTGCTAACACGTTTTAGTCGGTACAAACTTCCAGAGTAACGCAAATCGCTGTGCTCGAGGAGTTCTCGATCTGCCTCGTCATTGCGGACCGATCTCTTATTGCTTATCCGCTGGATGTGATCGCGCCAGTCTCAAACTTCCCAGCCCCCGCTCATGACAACCCGAGAAGGGCGCCTCAAAGATTGGCCAAGGATGTCGCGTTCTTTGCTACCGCGCGCATGAAGGAGCGCATGCTCGTCTTTTTCAAGCGAAGGGAGGGCATGCACAACACCTTCAAGGTGCTCGAGCCGGTCTTCCAAAAGTCGACTGAGAAGAAGTCTAGGCTGTTCGGTGGCCGTAGGGGGATGGGCGGTAGCACCGACGCCTTCCGCGACTACGACGAATTTTACTTGCCGGCGGAGTGTTACTCACTCAACCTCTTCCAGAGCTACATCGCGGTCTCGACTGCAAAGGGCTTCGAGTTGCTCACCCTCGACAAGAAGCAGACCATGTCCATTCCCGATCTCAAACAGCCCGCAATCGCCAACATCGCAAGCAGGATACGAGACCAAAGGCCGTTGGGCATGTTCAGGCTGAACGATCAGGAGTTCTTGCTGGCATACGAGGACTGTGCCGTCTACGTCGACAAGCACGGCGACGTCAGCCGGACCCTGATTATGGAGTACTCGGGTAAGCAGAAGAAGGCTACCAGTGCGACCATGTACGGCCAGTATTTGCTCCTCTTCAACGGAGACTACGTCGAGGTGCGCAACGCAGAGAACGGCCGCCTCAGGCAGATCATAGCTGGCCGCGATGTCAGATGCCTCGACTTCGGTGTTAGAGGCCCGACGGGAGGCAACGCATCAAACAACCAGAACAGCTGGATCGGCGGCCAGACGCCGGCAGGGGAGGATTCCAAGGGAACAGTGAAGATCTCAATGAGCCATCCTGAGCAACACGGCGTTCAAATCGTATTGGAGATGCTTCTCAATGACGGACATATGGAGAAATAGGCCAGGAATGATGTTGGGGAGTAGATGCGATAACTCACAAGAGGGACAGGAACCCCCTTTTAGGTGGTCTGATGATTGGACAGATGTTGCCCTAGGTCTCATTTTGTTGGGGGTTGTCTTTTCACGAATTTTGGTCTCCGGACGTGAGCACGAGAGTCGACGAGGATAAGGATACGAGGACCGCAAGGCGTTTGGGGGCGTGGGTGAGGGTCAAGAAGGGTTTTCTTCTTCTTCTTCGTTTTGATGTTGGAAAGGGCGGTAGATGCTCCGAGGCCACGGCCGGGACACTTTTTTCTTCTTCTACTGTTCTTGTCTAGTCGGGATCCTGTGTGATGTAGATACGAGATGCGTCTCGTCTATGAGGAATATAATGATTCCCACGTCAACAACAACCTTTGAGGTGGTGATTCGACCGACTTGTGATACCTGAGAGGGGAATTACTGACATGAGATGTATGCTCTTAGGGGTGAGTAGGCAACGGCTGAACCTTTGTGATGAAGAGGATCGGTATAGTCTAGCTGGCTCCTACTTAAGGTAGTCACGTTCTGCGAGACGACCCACGGTGTTTCTAGCTTCCTCGTAATAAGAGACGTACATACCCCCGCACTGAATGAGCAGTCAGCTAACCGACTTGGAGTTAGGTCGTTTTGAGTGTTGTTCTCTCACGATCCTTGGAGCTCTTTGCACTGGCTAAGCGAACCTATCAAAACCGACGTCCCTCGAGGGCCGCATAAGCTGCCTCCTCATACATTGCGAACGGGTTTTCGTGTGTTCTGAAGACGGGCGTGACGAATTCGTCTTTTTTTTCTTTAAATGACGGCATCTTGGGACCTACGCGGCACGGTTTATACCAATGCAATGTAGTCGATTCAACCCGTGCGACTGGCCTGGCCACGCAGTCAGTGTTCGTAACAGTGTAGATATACCAGGAGGTACACGCAATGATGCCATCTCGGGGGTGTATCTGTTGATGAACACGGGAGAATACGGTCTGGAGCGATGTTGTGTTGGTACTGTACCCTGCAGCAGGTAGGCGGGGAGAGGAGGCAAGCATCCGTAAGCTTGCGGGACCAACGAATTCGATGTTTCGCTTGGCGAGCTGGGTTGGTGGACTAAAGTGGCTATTGCTGAGTGAGGAAGGTCGTTAGGGTCGTGGTTGGGGATATAAGATGCTGACGGAATCTCAAAAGTCGGCAGGTAAGACGGGAGAGAATACTGCTGCGCCTTAAAATCGTCATCTTCTCTTACGTTCTGGTTCCAGCGTGAGTATAAGAAGAGGTAGCATCGTGCTCTACGAAGTTTGAGCATCTCCAAAATCAAGAGAAACCGGACGAAAGCCTCATCACTTTAAGAAGAAAGGGGAAAAAAGCAAGGCGCGGGCCAAAAACACGCCCACCATGCGCTCATCATACCTCCTCCTGACAGCCCTCCCGCTATCCACGGCTTCATCCTACACCTGCCCGCCCCTCGGCCCCGTCCTCCCGAACCATCCCAACCCGCGCGCCCACCCGGCCGTCCGCGCCGCCCTCGCAACCTTCGCCGCCTCCCTGGAAGCCGAGACCGCCGCCTTCCACGCCTCCGCCGTCTCCGTCGCCGTCAAGTCCGCCCTCGAGGACGAGCCGCTGCTGGAATTCCACCACACCCCGCGCGCGCGGGATCCTCGCGGCGCGGGGCGCGTCGACGAGAACACGGTCTACCGCCTCGCGAGCGTGAGCAAGGTGTTCGCGGTGCTCGCGGCGCTGATGAGGGATGACGTGGTCAGGTGGGATGATCCTGTTACGAAGTACATCCCGGAGCTGAGGGGGCCGGTGGAGGGGGGAGTGGTCGTGGGGGTGGATGTTGTTGATTGGGAGGACGTTACTGTCGAGGGCGTCGCGGCGCATGTTGCGGGTATCGGGGCTGATAGTGAGTGTTTGTATGAGATTCTGGGGATGGTGTGAGTTTGCTGACGAGTGGCGGTGTCTTAGTGATGACGGATCGGAGCCAGTATGATGGGAACTGGGAGTCCCTCGGTCTGCCTCCCATTCCGGACGACGAGAAGACTCCCGCGTGTGGTGGATTCTTGGGCGCGCCGCCTTGTACGAGAGAGGGTGAGTTTTTGAGACGCCATCGACGATGGAGATCTTGCGACTGATGTGGCTCTAGAGTTCCTGGATGTTTACAAGAATCGCCGTCCGCCGGTCTACCCGTCCTACCACACTCCCGTCTACTCCAACACGGGGACGACCCTCGTGGCGCTGGTCGTCGAGGCGGCGACGGGTAAACCGTTCGACCGGCTCCTCCGCGAGCTGATCCTCGACCCCGTCGGCATGTCCTCGACGTATTACCCCTCGCCGCCGGAGGACTTGAGCAAGCTGTTCATCCCGGAGAACTGCACCATATTCGACTGGAATCTCGGCGTCTTTAATCCGTGAGTTTCGCCATATCCCCGCCCTCCTGATTCTCCCTTCGATACTGACGAGAGCTCAGCGCCGGGGCGATGTACTCCTCCACACGAGACATGCTCAAGTTCGGCGACGCGATCCTCCGCCACCGCCTCCTCTCCCCGGCCAGGACCCGCCGCTGGCTCAAGCCCTCGACCTTCACCTCCGGCCCGGACGCCTTCGTGGGCCAGCCCTGGGAGGGGTACCTCTCGGACAACCTCACGGCGGACGGGCGCGTCGTCGAGGTGTACACCAAGGGCGGGGACATTGACGAGTACAAGGCCGGGCTGGTGCTGGTGCCGGAGCACAACGTGACGATAACGATCCTCGCGGCGGGGGGCGAGGCCGCGGGGCGGCGGTTCTCGTATTACGCGGAGACGATGAACGCGGTGCTCCCGCCGCTGATCAGGGCGCTCGACGAGGCCGCGAGGGACGACGCGCGGGAGAAGATCGTGGGCGTGTTCGAGGACGGGGAGAGCGGCTCGCGGATCGGGTTGGGGCTCGACGGGGGACCCGGGGTGAGGGTCGAGGACTGGGTCATGCGCGGGTTCGAGGTCGTGCCGAATTGGAGGCGGTATAGCCACGCCGGGCTGAACGATACGGGGATGCGGCCGGACCGGGAGAGGACGGCGAGGGTGTATCCGACGGGCCTACTCCGGGATGGCGGACGGGCGGCGGGGTGGAGGGCCGTGATTGACGTGCTCGGGGAGGGGGAGAGGGAGGGGATTGACGGGGAGATGTTTTGGAGGAGGGCGTCGTGTATTACGTGGTTGACGATGGATCGGGTGTCGTATAATAACGTGGGGCTGGACTATTTCGAGTTCGGGTATGGGGAGGACGGGAGGGTTGAGAGGGTTTATGCCAAGGGGTTTGGGGTCGAGATGAGGAGGGTTGAGGTTGAGGGTGGTGAGGATTCGTTTGGGTCTCAGGAGTTGTAGTCTGAGTTATGTCTCTTCGTGGATGACACGACTGCGAAGTGTGTTGTCTGAGTTGAGCTGCGTGTAATCTACCAGTCCTCGACACAGTTGTCGGATACCTCAACACGGATTAGACGTAAGGTACTAAGCCTTGGAGGAGTCAAGGATGATAGGCTTCATCAGGTCTTCCATAATTCACCTCATCAAACAGTATTAATAAATAAGAAACTAGCGGCTAACTGATGTGACTGACTGATGGCATAGAGCCCAACCCGTGTACGAGGAATACGACTGGGAATTTGGACTCAAACCCTCAAACTTATCGCGCTCAAAACTTTTTCGGATTATGTCGTAAAACTTTGTGTTGTTCATGGACTGTCTCTCCATAACCATTTTATGCCTCACCACGTTCATTGTGGAAAGGGTTGACTTACTGGCACAACATCGCCTACTTGAACGTTCTTGATGGCAGATTCCACCGCGACGCAGAATTCGAATTAGAATATTTGATATCTTCGAAAATTGAACAGTGTCTCCTGAATAGGTTGGATGAGGGCGCCAAGAACAGCATCGAGTTTCCCGTGGAGCTACGCTTGGTAACCGAGGAAGTCCACGACGTGCTTGGCCCGTACTATCTTCCTGGCACCACCAGAAGTTGGCTTTTCTATTCTGACGAGGACAGGAGCCATTTGAAGACTTTGGGAGAGTTGGGGGCCATTGCGGACTTGAAAGCACACTTTCTTCACTGCTGAGAGGGCGAGTCTGCGTAGGATGCATCCTGCTGCGTTGTATACTGTCTCAAAACGGGCGAAGTTGCGTGAGAGTGGAAGTACGTTACGAATCGATTGGCGGGAGGGATGGATGTCTTTGACAATATGCCCGAGTTTCTTGGGAAGTACGTACACTTCCTTGAAGAAGACATGGAGGATCGGGCTGCTCGTGATCGGAATGTTGTGTCGGATTGGTAGTAAGACTTCATGATACAGAAACCGTTGAACCATCTTTCTCCGCCGCCGACATGCCGAGATATAGAAATGGCACGATATTGGGTACAGACCTAAGAATGTGAATGGAGTAAGAGACCTGGCGTTGGTCCTCGGAGCAGGCCAAGAACCTCAGGGCTAGCTCTCGCCTCAAGTACCCTATCAGAGACAACATCCGTCAGCGGCTGAAAAAAGGGCCCTACTCTTCATGTCCTGCGACATTGAATCTTGCGTCCAACACTTCAACAGCATTCGCTGAGGTACGAGCAGCGCGACTGGACAGGCTGCGGTCGAATTCGGACCCCAAGCCAATCCACACACTGCGCAGCTCGCTAAGGTCGGGACAGGGGAAAGCGAATGAGGTCCCATACAGCCAACACAATATTCGTCCATTTCCGGGTTATTGGCAACCTACCTCATTTCCGCGTCGCATCAGCTGTGCGTGCAGCCGGGGCGCCGTCCAGCCCGAATCAAGCGGCTGCCTGCTCACCGTCCAGAGCCATCCCAATCACCAGGCTTTAAAAAGTGATGACTTCGTCCGTCACCTCGAACCAGGTAAGCCAAGCCCTGCCTCTCCGACCAACATGGCCTCCTTCACTCCCCTGCACCGACTCTTCGCATCCCTGGCGTTCGCGCCGTGGGCATACGCAGCCTCGTGCAGGTCATCCCCGGGCGCCGCTGACTGGCCTCCCGCAGAATCCTGGGCCCGCCTCGATGAGTCTCTCGGGGGGAGACTGCTGCGACCGGCTCCTCCGGGAGCTGTCTGCCATCCCGGACAGCCCGTCTACGACGTCGACGGGTGCGCCGCCGCCGCGGCCGGGTGGAGCGAGCGCGACTTCCACGTCGCCGACCCCGTCTCCGTCATGTGGGACAACTGGAGTAATGACACCTGCCTTCCTGACCCGGCTCATCTGTGTCGCTCTGGCGGATACTCTGCGTTCGTCGTGAACGCGACGACGCCGGAGCACGTCAAGCTCGGCGTCGATTTTGGTACGTTTGCTGTCTTGCTATCCCTGCGACCTGAGGTTGACGGTGTTTGTAGCTCGGGAGAATAACGTGAGGTTGAACGTCAAGAGCACCGGCCATGATTACCTCGGCCGTTCGGTGGCTCCGGGATCCTTGTCCATCTGGATGCATCACATGCAGGATATCGAGTACCACGATGGCAGGTTTCAACTGGACGGTAGTGATGTGGTTATTGAGGGGAACGCGGTGACTGTAGGTGGCGGCACGGAGATGGGCAACGTACAGAAAGCCGTGGCCGAGCACGGCCAGGCTATCGTCGGGGGCGGATGCGCATCGGTGGGAGTGGGAGGTTACACAGCTGGAGGCGGCCACTCGCTGCTTTCGCCGCGTTACGGCATGGCCGCGGACAATGTTCTGCAGATGGAAGTGGTGACGCCAAAGGGTGAGATACTGACGATTAACGAGGCCCAGAATGCCGATTTGTTCTGGGCTATGCGGGGCGTGAGTGGTGATCCTCTTGAACTTGACCTGCTCATGCTGATGCGTCCAGGGCGGCGGCTCGACCTTCGGTGTAATCACGTCCATCACCTTCTCGACACATCCCTCGCCTTCAATCATCCATAGCACGTGGGCTCTTCTCATCGAGCCCGAAGCCCCCTATTTCCCCGACCTTCTCGCCTACGTCCTGTCCCAGTGGCCCGCGCTTGAAGAGGGCGGCATGTCGATGTACTGCACCTCCCAGAGCTCGCCCATGGTGAACCCCTTCCCCATCGAAGGACTCCCCTCGCAAATCGCAGGCATCATGGGCGTCTCCCTACTCCAGGACACCGACCGACAAGCCATGGTCGACCTCTGGCGACCCATCAACGAGACGATCTCCCAGCGCTGGCCCGGCGCGACCTTTGTCCAGCAGATCGAGGAACACCCGTCGTGGATCTCGTGGTTCGACAAGTACCAGGATACCAGGGACGTCGGGGGCAACACCATCTTCGCGTCGCGGCTCCTCGACAGGGAGGCGCTGACGGCCGACGTGGACGCTCTGGCCGGGGCGGTCAAGACCGTGACTGACAAGGTGACCCGTCTGACGACGTTCTTGGTCTCTGGGAAGGGGGTTCACGAGGCGGTCCCGCGAGGCGGTGGGAATGCGGTGCTTCCTGCGTGGAGGGAGGCGTATGTTCACGCGAGTAAGACAGACCACCGACTTGGTAGTAGAGGTTTGGGACTGACGTGTTTGAAGTTGCGACTACCCGTTTCCCTTCGTTCAATGCCACGGCAAAGGAAGAGGCCATTGAGACTCTTGACGCAGCAGTTGAGGGGCTAAGGCAGCTGGCGCCGGACACTGGTTCCTACCTGAACGAGGTAAGAGTTGTCAAGGTACCGCTTCCGGACCAACTTGCTCATTATATCCCAGGGCTCTGTCTACGAGAAGGATTGGCAAAAAGCTTACTGGGGCGAGAACTACGACCGGCTGCTCAGGATCAAAAAGGACGTTGATCCAGATGACGTCTTCTGGTGTGAACCCTGCGTCGGTAGCGAGGGGTGGAAAATGGTAGACGATGGACGGCTGTGTAAAACCTAGGTTGTGGATGTGGCGGTAGACTTTCGATTCAAAGCGGTAGCGAACCTCAACGGCCTCCCTCCACTGTCAGCAACGTGGAGGGTGATAGGCCTGTCAACGAGTGTCTGTTCTCGGGGACAAGCAGAGAACAGAAACTTGGCCGAGTGGTCAAGTGTCTGGTAGGCTCACTTGTCGGAGGCTCTCCCGAAAGACCACAGTGCCGTACCTCCCACTCCCTGGCAATCCCGCCGAGTACCATACCTTCAAGTTCGATCTATAGCCATCTCTTAACATTTTGCCGTTTACGAAAATTCTCTTTTTGCATTAATCCATGTGACCTCGAGAATCGGTTCAAGTTGCTTTGGCTCCTGAGAGCTGGTGGCAGATGAAGTTCGAGACCGAGGGTTCGAGTCTGCATGCGTCACCAATTTTGAATGTCTGGGTGGAAGAGACGACAAGGTTGCTTCATAGCAAATGAAAACACGCCGATACGGATATTTACTTGATAACACTTCATCACTTCAGTTGTTCTACCATTACTGGCGTATGCTAGTCGGGGGCACTGTGGTAGAAACGTATTATTCACACCAGTAATATGATTATAATTAACAAGAATCGGCTACTGAGGCTTACTCCCCCCATTCAAGCCTTCTTCGTAACATTCATAGCCTTCACCCAAGGCTTCCAAATATCCTCAATGGTGGCAGGATCATTCCACCCGTTCCACTCGTAGTTGGTCAATCCCCAGCCGTCAGGGACACCCTGAGCACCGGACCTTACGCGGTAGCTGCCCGCCAAGCCCCAGACCATCCAGCTGACGCCGTGCTTGACGGTGTACTCCCGCAGGCAGACCTGCAGGGTGTCGTTCCGGAGCGTCTCATCCTGGCCGTTGCCGAACTCGGAGAAGATGACGGGCGTCAGCCGGCTCGCCTTCGGACAGTCCACGCCCGTGGTGTTGCACGCCGCGGGCTTCTCGATGCCCAGGGCGTTGAAGCCGTTGCGGTACAGGCCGGCCTCGATGATGGGGCACGTGCCGGTGTCGACGTCCTCGCTCATCTTGTACAGGTGCAGCTCCCAGACGAGCTTGTCGGCCCAGGCGTGGGCGTCGACGTCGAAGACCTTGGGCTCGCGGCGGGCGGCGTCGCGGATGGCGGTGCACTTGTAGCAGGGCGCGGCGAGGTAGTTGGCGCCGCTCGTGAGCGCGGACAGGTCCTGGCCGTACTGCATGCCGCCCCAGAGGATGAGGACGTCCGGGTTGGCGTCGTGGATGGCGTCGGCGCCGGCGGAGAAGTTGCCGACGAGGGTGTCCCAGTTGTAGTAGAGGGCGGTGTTGTTCCAGGACTCGCGGACCTCGTTGCGGAGGGAGAGGGAGACGATGTTGGGGTGGGCGCGGGCCCAGTTGGCGACGTAGGAGAGGCCGCGGCGCCAGTGGGTCGAGTTGACGTGGACGTCGTCGAACCAGGCGTTGCCGTCCGTGTGGGAGCAGCACCACATGGCCTTGTGGACGTGGACGTCCGGGGAGATGAAGATGCCGCGGTCGAGGGCGGCGGCGGCGATGTCGGACCAGATCTCGAAGCGGGTCGTCTCGCGCGTCCAGGACGGGTTGTGGCGGATGATCTCGTTGGTGACCCTCGTGCCGTTGACGTAGCCCAGGGCGGTGATCATGGCGACCTCGAGGGGGACGTCCTCGCCCTCGCGGTCGTAGATCTGGTCGACCATTTCGATGGCGTAGCCCCTGTTTTCGAGCGTCAGCATGAGGATCTTCAACGTGAAAAACGAGGGAGGGAAAACTCACATGCGGATGTAGTTGAAGCCGACGCTGGCGACATCGTCGAGAATCTTGTCGACCGAGGCCCATTCCAGGCCCTCGGGGACCATGGTCTCGCCGCTCATGGGCCAGTTGACGCCCGCCCACTTGACGACCTCGCCGCGGTTGTTGACGATGTCACGACCGCGGGTGCTGAAGGGGCCGTAGGGCCAGGCGTCGCTGGAGTGGTTGGTCGCCTGCCTGATGGTCTTCTGAGAGGCGAAGCGAGGCATGACGGGGGTCTTGACGTATTGGGCGCACGCCGACGACGCGAGGGCCGCGGCGGCGAGGACGAACGCTGTCACCTTCATCGTGGGAGTATCCGTAGACTCACGTCAACCACGTGCGAGAGCTGCAGTGAAACGATGAGCGTTGCTCTCGGGAAAGCTGCGAGAGGAGAGGAGGGACGGGACCCCGAGACCTTTTTGAAGAGCTGTTGCTTCATCTCGTCTTCGGTAACATCGGTCGGTCCATTGGCGAATGAAAGTGTTGTTCGGCTCCGTATCCCCCGCACGTGGTATTGTTTTCTCATGTCTGGCAGCGTCATTCGACACCCCTCTGGCAGATGAACCATCAGGTCATGAGCTTTCTCCTCGCAATGTTAAAATTGTGCCGAAGCTAGAGGTGCTCAACCAAGGTTCAGACCTGGCGGACCCTGGGGGATGTTGGGGAATCCGATGACGGCATTGGACCGCTTGAACGAGTGGAGAGCTCGGGGCCGGGCTACCCCGCATTGGACGATGCGGGGGCGGTGGAGACGGCTACCTAGGTACGTACCTTACCTAGTGTCGTGTTGGGGGAGACGGGCAGCGGGATAATGGGGCAACCAAGTTGATATCCTGCCGAGCGACCGTTTTCTGGAGGCGGATCGAAAGATACTTCGGAGGCGGTCTGAATCGGAAGTTGATCCGCATGTTAGTCGGTTGGCATTGAAAATTGCAGTGTCTGATATGAGGTGGCTTCGTCAGCCAAGCCGTGGTCTCTCCATCTAGACCTGGTCTGGCATGTATGATGTTGAAGCGATGGAATCATGTTGAATGATGCTTGCAACATGAATTCCTAAATAATTATAGAAAATCGTTAAAGTTGTGCTGACAGAACTTATACTCGACCCACCGAATCGAAAATGAGCTTCCTCCTACCTGCCAAAGCCTTCACTACCAGGCTAGTCATTCTCAGCGAGGAAGGTTTGCCTGCAACGTGATTTCAACATGATCAATGAAAATTACAGTCTGGAGAGTGATATTGAAGTACAGATCTCTTGAGCTCATCAGCAACGGCCATCCTACCAGGTCCTATCCACGAGCGACGGCAGGATGCTGAACAGGCACATTAAGGCTATCATCAGTGAAGCTAGAGTAGGTAGAATTATCAAAACTCTGCTACATTGAAAGCAGATGACAGAATTAGAACCCAACGACCTTTTATGTTCATGTGTGACTGTGAGTTCAGTTGCATAACACTGCCTCTCAAGTCTCTACAGTGTTGGTCTCAGCATCGTCCATAGAGTGAAGTCAGCTCTAGTCTCAACTGAGCGAGAAGAAGGGATGCAAGAAGAAAACCCGTCGAAATAAGAGATGAAATGAATGAAAGTTGCATAGGAGCTTGCGTTTTGTTGTTTCTAGGATAGTGCGATCTTATACGAGAATACGGCACTAAGGCGCAAAAAGAGAGTCCATGACCGGGGTATGAGTTGAACACACGACCTGCGCCGAGATAAAGTGAAAAACAGCGCTGCTCTACCACCTGAGCTACCCAGCTAGTTTATTCCAAGTTTAACGGCATGCTGAACTGTGGTTGACCTTTATGTCTCTCCTCGATGCGGACGGATGGGGGAACCCGTGCCAAAAAGAAGGAAGGTCCTTGACTGAGGCATGAGTTGAACACGCGACCTGCGCCGAGACAAATGGGGTTGGAATAAAGCGCCGCTCTACCACCTGAGCTACTCAGCCAGTTCTTTTCTGGTTGAAATGATGAGTTGTGGTTGATGCTTATGTCGAAGTGGTGCGAATGGATGGGGCCGTGGTTGCCTGGTTGGTGCTGAGGCTGACATGTCAACCGTGGAAACTTCTAGATGATCTCACGCCCTTCCAATGTACAAGCTTCAAAGACATACATAGGGCGTCATGTAACCCTGCTGGACCAGAGTTGGAAGATCCTGTGGTAATGTGGGTGAATGTGGGGGGATATCGCAGCTCTCATCGCGTATGTATTTACCACTCTTCGCTGACGCATTTACTTTGTCATACTCTTCTCCGGGTTCTTCTCATACCGGTTGCACCACTTCTTCCACTCCTTCGCCCCCTTGTGCATCACAACCTTCAAGTCGTCCTTGACATCGTTGACCTCCCACGCCTCGTCCTCCCAATTCTGCTGTCCGCGCGTGTGCGCCGGCGACCAGCCGATGGCCTCCAAGCAGTCGCTGTGATGTCCGTCAGTAGCCGCCAAAACATGAAGCAATCTTTGGGGGGTAAAACTCACATTTCAGTAGGCGCCGAGGTGTACCGCGGGAACAACCTCGAGTCGACGCGGTGGCATTCGGCCTGCAGGTAGCGGGAGAGCACGTCGATGCGGTGCGCCGGCTTGAAGGTGAGCTTGAGCTTGTCCTCCTTCTCCATCTCCTTTTCGGACTTTTCCGGGTCGATGGTCTCGGGCTTCTTGGACGACGACGCGATGCGCTTCGTCACGGAGCGGGCCGTCTTGGTGCCCTTGATGGTCATGTACGCCCAGACAGCTGATGAAACGTCAGTAAACGACTCATAAACATAGCGGATGTACTGCAAAATGCTTACCGTTGACTTCAAAGAGCCCGCTGATGGCAATCATGACGAGGTCGATCGCCAGCGAGACGGGGAGGAGGCCGGTGGCGATGATGGCGTCCCGTTGCGCCTTGGACTTGGTGCGGAGCATCGTGTTGACGAACTCTTCGCGCATCGCCTCGGGAGTCATGTTCATGGACGGCGCGTACACGAAGACGATCTCCTCGACGCCGACCGTCTTCTTGGTCTCGTGGGACCCGTGCGCCGGGTCGTCGTCTTGAACCTCTTCATGATCCTCCTTCTCCCTGGCTTCGTCGAGGGACTTGCCACCTTTCTCGTCGCGGGCCTTCTCCTCGCTGAACTTCTCCTCAAACGGGTTCTCTTCCCTCGCCTTCTCGTCGTGGCTGTAGCCCGCCTCACGGGCTTTCTCGTCTACCACACCGGCCTCCCTCGCCTTCTCGTCCGCCACCTTCGTGTCTGCGTCATGCGCTTTGCTCTCCTCGGCCTTCTCGTCTACATCCACGCTGTCCTTGCCCTTGACGTCATCGTCCTTCTTCTTCTTCCCCTTACCCTTGATCGAGAGTTTCCGGGCAAGGTTGGAAGTGGTAGACTGAGATGGCGGGGGTGTCACACGAGCGAGGAAGTCCAGGTTGCTGGTGGTGGTGTACTGCATGGCCTTGTCGACCCCGCGAGTGCACTTGGCCTTAAACCCAGCCCAGCTCGTCGTCTTCGCGTCGCTCTGCTTAGCCTGCCGGACCTCGTTCTGCCACTTGCGCTGCACCTTATGCGTGACGCCCTCCTTTACGCCCTCCGGCGGCGCCTGGAGCGGAGGGGGCGGAGGCGTGTAGACCAGGAAGCGGGTGGGCATGTTCTCCGCCGGCGCCCTGGCCCCCAACCACGGCTTCGGGAAGGGCACCAGGTACGCGATGAGCTTGTGGGGGTCTCGCGAGTAGTGGATCGGGTTATTGGGATCATCGGCGCCGAAATCCGAGCCCACACGCTTCGGCGGCGCCATGAAACCTTCCGTTGACGGCGTCCTGGTGAACGGTTTCGGTTCCTGCTGGTACTGTTGCTGGGCAAGCATCGCCGCCACGGCGTCCGGATGAGGTCGGGCCGGCAGGGGAGGGGCCGGTCCGCCGCCTTCTTCCTCCTGTTGCAGGCGCATGGCGAGGGCGCGGTCTTCGTCCTCGGGGGACATTGGCTGAACGGGGTGAGGAGCGCTCTGGTTCCATCCGGAGGAACCTTGTGACGGGCGCTGCGGCAAGGCCGGTCGCTGGCCCTCCTCTTCCTCCTGGAGTGCCAAGGCCATCGCGTAGTCGCGGTCCTCCTGTTCCTGGATGGACGGGTCGGATGCGTGCGCCTGAGCGTAGTAGTCGGCTACTTCTGGCTGTGATGGTCTTGGGCCTGGAAGCGGCGGACGCTCTTCGGCTGCTGCTACTACTGGATGTTCAGGCGATTTGCCCTTGTCCTCTGAGGCTCGATATCCATTGGGCTCGTCATGTTCAAATCCGATGTTGTGCTGCGCGACATGCTCCGGCGCCTTTCCCTTGTCTTCTGACGTAGGTTGTCCATTGGGCTGAGGATACCCGTGCGAAGCATCATGGTGCGGTACTGAAGCTTCGGAGACAGGAGAGACGTGATGATTGGGTTCTGGCGCTGGTTGATGCTGAGGATGCGATGAGGACGACATTTCATCGACTGCCGCCTTGTGATCGGCTGGCGGTGGTGACGGGCTTTTGGTGCTGGGAGGATCGTAGATGTCGTCGGGAGGGTTATTTGGGGGGTCGTAAATGTTATCCTCCTCCTCCTCCTCCTCCGGAACCGCGTCCGCCGCGTGTCTTTGCCTGTTGGGGTCCTTATAAGACCACTGCGACCGCACACTATTGGAGCGATAGGTCGTGGGCGTGGCGGGTATAATGTTCACGGCAGGGACTCCGCTGCCTGTTGGGACGGTGGGTGACTCATTGTTGAGGTCATCGTACCAGCGGTTCTGAGCTTGCTGATCGTGTTCATGCTGTCCCTGTCCGTGAGTTTGGGAGCTCGAGGGAAAGAAGAGCTCCTGTTCCGAGATGGAGCTCGGGGTATGGCGCTGCTGAGTTGCGTCCATCTTGGCGAAGCAGTCGTTTCTGCGAGTTCAAGACACTAGAAGTTCTAGTTTTTCTGCTGTGAGAATGAAGTGAGAGGCCGATCGACTATACAAGCATTCATGAAGCACCCGAAAACCTTAAATTCACTCTTGGCCTTCGCGGTTTGAGGCGAATAAACCGCCTTGGAACGCGCAACTCGAGGCGGCGGTGCGGCCGTGAAGGAGGAAGATGACGTGGTGTCACCACCGGATAATGTGGCGCAGCTGGCAAACGGTTTGTGGCACTGGCCAGCGACCGTCGCTGCGGCGCAGCAGGAAGCGCAGTTCCTGGTACGGGATCTCCGTGATGGACAGGGGTTCCAGCATCCCGGCCGTTGTGGCTAGAGCTCGGTTTCAAATCCGAGGGGTTTCGGTGCTGTGAAGGTCGTCTGTTGGGCAGCGCATGGAGAGGCATCCTGGGTCGACAACTTGGATCTGTAGGCGGCCTATTCTGACGATGATTGTCACATGGTGTTTTTCCGCTCCGAGCATCCCGTCCTGAAGCTGCGGTTCCCTGGTTAGAAGTTGGATCGTGCGTACACAATTATCAGGTTTCTTAAGCCCATGCGTTTGGCATGGTTTGGTGGAGGACGACAACAGCCATGATGCGCACTCCGGATTTCATCGAGGGTGAACATATATAGCGAAACGTTCTCCCAGAAGCAGCCAAGTACGTCGCGATACCACGGCAAGGCCTCGGGAGAAATCGGAAGCAGGCCAAAACATGATGGGGATGCGACGTGGAGATGCTCGTTCGGGTTCCAGTGAATAAACCGAGTTGTCGGGCATCTCGTCCCCACGGGGGAGCCAAGGCGTAAGAGATTCAACCCACCCGCGCTAGTAGTTCGCTTGGGAAATCTTGATTTGACGCTCGCAAAATAGACGTCTATTTGAAGAAGGCCAAGAATTCGGAAGGAATTTAGACGGTTGCGTTGCGAGGCCAGATGCGAGGCGCTATGCGAAGACCATCGATGGATTGGTTGTCGTGTTCGGAGGTCACGATAGGGAGGCCGTAGACGAGGCGACATGAGACGGCTTCGACGCACATGACTTCGCCGTGAAGGAACAACCCAGGTTTGGGAGTCCTTCTTTGACAGCCTGATGTGTTCGTAATAACTCGTGTCAGTTGTGTCAGTTCTTTCTCACTCCACAATAGCACGGTCGAGATGTGCCTCATCAGCTGGCAGCAGAGCAGCATGCAAAGGGCCGCTGCCGCAAGCCGAGGGACTGCAATTTTGACACTTGACTCGTTCTCAGCTCATCTACGGCATGGTCGTGATGCCGTATTAGCCGTGCGCTCGGTCAACCGAAGATTTGCGCATACGTCGAAAAAAGAAGAGATGATGAGATGTGAACGGAGTGGCAGAATTTCCCGCGGGAGAAAGATTGCAGCAGGCGGTACGTGTTTGGGAATGGGATAAATTTAGCTGAGTAAGCCGGGACCGGCCACATCGGGACCCACTCCGGGCAGATCCACCAAGATTCCTAGGTATTCGTAGGGGGATTTCTCCCGTGAATAGCTTCAACCTTGCAACGTACTTGTCTTGCGGTCGGTCAGTGCTGTGTCTCAAGAACGCGTAGCCCTGGTTTCTAACGTTACGTTCCACTAAACTTGGCTTAGAGTCATGAAGCCCCATGGTAACATCATTGATAGTCGAAAGCAGCAGTCATTCTCGAATTCAAGATGCCTCTTTTCACACATCATCAAATCTTGCTGGCCAAGCGCAATCAAGGCTTCATACTGCAGCGCGGCACTTCAATACGACTCCACAGACGTACTACGTACAAAAGCCAGTCCCTCCCAAAATAACAGTCTTTCGTCTGAGATGGCCCCCACTACGCATGGATGCGTTTCTGCTGCTCTCTGAGGCATGTTTCAAAATCATCCCGCGCCGCTATTCGTCGATCTCCCGCCCAACAAACCGCGCACACATCTCTGGGCATTTTCCCCGTCATCCAACTCCTGATTCGTCCACCGTGTTTTGGACCGAGACGCAAGAGCCTCTGTCATGTTTGTTCGTATTTCCTTCCAGACTCACGATGTAAGGCTGATGGGTCCTCCCTTTTCCCACTTCTGCCTCGGGACCGTAGCACCCCGAAGCCAAGCTAGCCGCTTGTCTTGTCAAACCTCGGGCCCCCGACGAAAAGATGACGGGGGCCGAGAGGTCCACTTCGTCCAGATCTGGGTCGCAGCAGGAGATTTCATCAAACAAGCACTTTGGCTCACGTCCCACATGGCTTATTTTGGCACCACGACGTCCGTCTGAGCTTGGCAAGTGTCAAGGCATGCCTCCCCCCCGGACATGGACCCTCGGACTCGGTGGGACGGGACTGAGTGGCTGGCTGTCAGTATAAGTATATCTGACGGCTCGCCTCCCCTACGATCAACACGGCGACCCTCGAAACTCTGTTTTCCGAGTGCTTGTCCGCAACTTTCTTTTCTTCATACTGCCGGGCTGGTTCCCGTCCTTGCCCGCCAACCGCAATGCAGTTGAAGGGATTCCTCCCTCTTGCCTTCGCTGCTCTGGCGGCGGCGGCTGAGCCGCTGGCCGCCGTGCTCAAAACCCACAATGCCAGTCTGAGTACTTTCAATGGTAAGTCGTGTGTATATGTGATCTCGGGGTTGGGTACTTACATGTCGTCCAGCTATGCTCGCGATGGTTCCAGCCATCAGCCAGTCCCTAGCCACCTCCAAGGACTTCACCATCCTCGCTCCCTCGGACGACGCCTTTGTCAAAGCCATGCAACTGGACCCCACGTTTGCTCAAAAGGCAACCAACGTCACCTTCGTCACCGATCTCCTCATGTACCACGTCGTCACCGGCAAGACCACCTCCAGCGCGTTCTCCTCGAAGCCCAAGTTCGCCGCCACCATGTTCGAGACGCCCTTCGCCAACGTCACGGGCACCCAAAAGGTCGAACTCGCCAAGATGGCCGGTAAGGCTGTCGTCTTCAGCGGATACAAGCAGATGAGCATCGTCTCGACGCCCGACATCTCCTTCACGGGAGGCGTGTTGCACGTCCTCGACTCGGTCCTGACGTTCCCCGGAACCCCCGCCGAGACGGCCCTGAACTCGGGTCTGACGAGTATGGCGGGTGCTCTGACGAAGGCCGGGCTCGTCGACGGCGTCAACTCCCTGCAGGCTGCTACCGTTTTTGCGCCGACCAACGCTGCCTTCCAGGCCATCGGGCTTACGGCCGCGCAGATGCAGCCGCAGGATCTCGCCAAGATCCTCCAGTACCACGTCGTCACGAACCAGGTCCGCTTCAGTTCTGGTATTACAACAAAGATGGGATTCAAGAGTTTGATGGGAGAGAAGGTCACGCTTCGGAAGGAACAGGGCTCTGTCTTTGCCAACTCTGCAAGAGTTACTGTGTCCGACATTATCACTAGTGATGGTGTCATGCACGTTATCGACAGGTAAATTCTCCGCAGCAAGACCTTCAACACCAGAAGTAGCTAACATATGGCAGTGTTCTCAACCCAGCCCAGCCGAAGCTGACCCCTCAGACATCCTCCGCGACCTCGCCCTCCGCCTTCAACGGCGCCGTCTCCGCCGCCAACGCCCCCTTCGCCGAACTCGTCCGCCCGACTGCCAACTTCGTGCTCGCCGTTACCTCGAGCGCCAGGACCGTCAAGATCAGTCTGGGCTCCGCAGTGCTTGGTTTCCTGGGATGCTTGGCGGTGGTCATGCTGTGAGTCGGGCGGCTCTGTGTCACGTACATCTCATTCCATTCTTTTGGAGCTTCAAGCGAGCATCTATAATACCAGAGACTATTTTCTCAGATACTACTTTTTTAATTCGACGGGAATTTCAGAACTTCATGGTGACTGTCTTCGTGCGCACAAGTACATGTACTTGAACCACTCAACTGATCGGGCTGCATATGCCCTCCAACCACCCGCGACCCAGCATCAATAGGGAAGGGAACTTATTACAACACAAGCTGCGACCTTGATAGGGCTTATGTCACAGGATTTATATTTCTGCCCAAGAAATGTGGTATGATTTCTGCTAGGCATAGGTATGCAGGAGCGATACGTGCTTACCGTGAAGTGAGTGGCTCATGGCACATAAGATGGAGGAGAGCAAGGGATTGGCTAAGGTACAGGCCCCTAAGCGGTTAAAATGGACCCACTTTTGCTTGGGTTCGCGATGACACCAATTCGACGTCGTTGAATCATCGCGACACAACTCCTCGCGACCGGTCCAGCGCTGCGGGAAAGCCTGGCCGGGCATATTCAGTACGACCCCTAAATGATTATTACGCCCTCTACATCGATCTTGCAGCAGAAACCCCAATTCATCCAGAACTCAATTCGTCATTGACTGCAAGACCTGTCTGTAGTGTGCCGTCGCTTGCCCGAGGATCCACACCGTACATCAGAAGGAAAGAAATAACGAAGCAAACAAGGCATCTCAGGGGCACAGCAGAAACAAGCTGTTAAATTCTTTTGAATTTGCCTTGGTGTTTGGCGGTTCCAATGGTCATCGTCAACGTCTGGAATTTCAATCACGCCTAATGCACTCACCGGGTCGAAGTCGCGCTCATAATCATTCAAGGACTGTTTTGTACTGCTCAGGGATGTCAAGATCTGCTCGACTTCCTGCTCTACATCTGCTCAAGCCTCTTTCCTCCGGATTTCGAATTCCTAGATTGCGACGAACTGATTGTTGTCCTTCGCTGGGTCATCACGTTCAGCCAACAGCACGTTGATCTTTGTTACGCACTCTCTCATCCTCTCACGACTTACACAACACTCCAATTATCATCACATCTCCATCGTCTCCGAATAACCTGAGGAATGCGCGGCCTCTCGACTAGTAAAGTGCGATGGCTGCTTCTCAGCGACCTTCACTTCAAGCATCATGATTTGGATCGCGTGCGGCAGACGGCGCAGTGGATTGTGGCCGAGGCGGAGCGGTATCAGGTCGGCCGGGTAGTGGTGTGTGGTGATCTTCTGACGAGCCGCACGACCCAGTCGACGCACGTCTTGTCTGCATGTTATCGCTTCATCAGTCTTCTCAGCGACGTCGTGCCGCGAGTGCACATTCTACTTGGGAATCACGACCTCGCCTACCGTCGCGACTATGAGACTACGGCCCTCGACGCCTTCAACATGAAACGCCTGGCGCCGTACGTATCTCTACACAGCGCCGTCACCCGCTGCGAATGGGATGGGAGAAGCGTCCTCCTACTGCCGTTTCGCGAGGAACAGAACGAGCTCACAGATGCGGTGGCGGCTCTCGATCCCAGCGAGGCAAGCCACACGGTTGCGTTTGCCCATCTCGCGATCAACAAAGCCATCACGCAACGGTGCGTGGTCAGCCCCGACGTTCGCAAACCTCGAGCAGTGAATTCTGTCACCTACCACGGCTTTACAGGCCCGGATCGGTTTGCAGCCCTCGCCCGGACCTTCACGGGGCACTTCCACAGCCATCAGACCATCACCCAGAAGAACTGCAGTAGCAACACCGTCAATCTGCAGGGAAGCGTCACTTACCTCGGCTCGCCCTTGCAGCTGAGCTGGGCCGACCTTCAAGACGAGCAGCGTGGAGTAGTTCTGTTTGATCCCGAGACGCTTGAGCACGAACTGCTTATCAACCCACATGCCGTCGGCTACAGAACGGCCGACCTTCAGCAAGTTCTTGATGGTGAGATTGAAGAGAGTGACATGACAGACAAGCATGTCATGCTCCTCGGCAAGCTTACCCATCTGAAATATGTCACTGCTCGCGACAAACTTCTTTCGCTGGGCGTGCGAAGCGTGCGGCCCTGGACCCCTTCGGGATTTGCCTTACAGAACGAGCGTCTGTCGTCTGGCGGTCTCGGCGCATCGGTGCCGGCAAGCGATCTCAATCTTCAGCATTTGGGGGAGCCCACTGAGCGTGGGGAGTGTCCAGGCACAATTACACCCACCGACGGTATTACGGGCACTGACTCCGACGGTGAACCTCGAGCTGAAAGACTCGACATGTCTACGGAAGCCCGCGAATATGTCGAGTCTTTGGATTTGGACGAATCTCTTCTTTCACGACGGGATGAGTTGGTACGGGTTGGCCAACGCATTATCCAACGCTCCCGTGATATTGCTGATGAGGATGACGAGGCCGAGATCGCTTATGAAGACTTTCTCGACAGTTCATCTCAAGCTAGCGGCACGAGAACCGCCAACAAAGTAACAGATCTCTGTGCCGATGTCTTCGTCGCCGAGCCTCTCACGCTCACAATCACCAACTTCCTCGCTGTGCAGGACACTACGACCGTTGACTTTCGAGAGGATATCAAACGTGGGTTGAATTTCCTCGTTGGTGACAACGGTTCCGGTAAGAGCACGCTCATTGAGGCCATGGTGTGGTGTCAGTTCGGGCAGTGTCTCCGTGGTGGGTTGGCGGTCAACGACGTCGTCAACGACAAGGCGGGCAAGAACTGCTCCGTCGTGTTGGAGTTCGCCAATGGCTACTCTATCGCACGGTATCGCAAGCACAAGACCTACAAGAACCGCGTCGTCGTCTCTCTACATGGCGAGCCGCAGCTACAGCTCGAGCACCCAGACGCGCGGACGACCCAGGCGGCAATCAACGAGCTGCTTGGGACCGACTACGAAACATATGTAAGGACCATTGTTCTGAGCCAGGAGAGTGCAGCAGGCCTTCTCAACTCGACACCGGCGCAACGGCGCGAGCTGATCGAGTCGTCACTCGGACTATCGATATTGGATGACTGCGGGAGGGCGTCGAGGCTGTTGCTGAAGAAGGTGGACACCGAAGTGAGTGAAGTGACATCCAAGTCAAACAGCTTGCTTAGGACGGTGGAATACCACGAAAGGCATCTTCATGATCTGAGCAGAACGTATAGACGAATCGAAGCTGAGGCGGAAGAGGCCGTCATAACTTTCCAGGCAGCTGATCGGGACTTCTCAGAGAAACGAGGCCAGCGTTTCGAGCCCGACATGAGCATTCGATCCAAGATCTCCGAGTTGCAGAGTCAGATCCGCACTGAGGAAGAGGATCTACAACGACTGAAAGGACTATTTGACCGAACACGGGCGAAGGCCCTGCAGGAGAAAGCTCTACAGGAAAAGGCACGACAGGAGAAGGCGCATGCTCGTGCGAGGTCTTGGCCGGATTGGCTACATCGGCAGCTAGATCAAAGGCTGGAGAAGGTCGCATCAGCTCACCCCACAAGCTGGCGCAAGTTCCTCCAGAGTATTGAACTTATGGCTCTACATTTACTGTCGGCGACGTTGAGGAGCCTGGGGGTAGTACCAAGAGTCCCAAAGGATAGCCCGTGTGAAGGCAGCGATCACATTCGCGACCAAGAACATGAAGCAACAATCAGGAGTTTGCTTCAGGATATCGATCATATCACGTCACGGTTGGAGAGCCTGAAGCAGGAAGAAAGCGTCAGCGTCAACCACCTCGTCACAATGAACGAGCAGTTCGAGCAGACCATGCGAACTCAAAAGGCGCTCGACGCTCTGCAGCAAGAAGTCATCAGAAAGCAAACCGACGCAGCCACATATAAGGCCTTGGCTGAAAAAGCACAATTGTCTCTACACATCCTCCACTCGGAACACGACGAGCTGACCGTCAAGCTCGGGGAGCTTGCCGCCAACCGCGAGCTCTTTGCCTTTTGGTCCTCGACCCTGGCGAAGCGCAGCCGCGGCGCTTCGTCTTCCTCCTCGTCCACCTCCGCCGCCACCACAGCAAACAGCTTCCGCGAGCAGATCCTCCAAAAGTCGCTGGGGGAGCTGAACGTGCTCCTCGCGAAAGTCCTTACCACGTTGTACGACGACACTTGGCACGCACGAATGGCAACGGGGGTCCTACAATCGCTGTTCGACTCTGAATCTGCAGATGAAACGACAGATACGTCACTCTCGGGATCTGTCCTGGGTCCTAATCTCGCAGTCCGTTCCTCGCTCGCCTACAGCAAGCGCTCGAGCGGCGAGCGCAAGCGCGTCGATCTCGCGCTCTTCTTCGCGTTGTTACAGTTGTCGCGAGCTAGGAGTGCACATCGCGCACACTACGTGCTCGTCGACGAGGTGTTCGACAATCTTGACAAGCAGGGCACGGCGGCCGTGGTCAAGTGGTGCGGCGTCATGTCACAAACGGTGGTCCGCTGGATGATAGTGATCACGCACAACCAGGTTTTGGTTGGACAGGATCTGGAGCAATACGTGGGCAGAGCCGTGATTGCGGAGGCAAGAATGGGTCAAGGAGGCACAGAGTTGGTTTTTGATAGACGCAGGATTGGTCAAGATTGAGAAGCTTGATATACACCAGATACCAGGTTTTTAGCTTCCAGTGAAGGAACATGAAACCCATTTCTTGATCAAAAGAAAGCCTCGAAGATGTAATCGTCAACCTAATAGATGCCTTTGGTCAGCAGACGTGTAGCGACGAATGGTGGACGTTGTGAGGAATCGATAAAACATATGCCTGTCTTACGTGCCTTTGAATAGGATGTCAATTGACATCCGGCTATGATTCCTGGCTATGTCTTTGTTCCTAAGACGGAAGTTTGAACGGTCAGGGGATATATTACCATCACGGGAAAATGTCAAGTTCCCTATTTGTTAGACTCAAAGTCCCATCCATATGAATGCATCAAGTTAGGCCCCACTGGACATGTGACAAGGGAATATTAGTGCTGTCAGCTGCCGGCGCAGGTTGGCCCTGAACACAGCGACGTTCGGGTCGAGGAAGATATTCAGGGACCTAATCTGTAAGACTTTGTCTGGGGAAGATGAGAGGCAAGAGTCTGCTCAATACTTTGGTAAGAACATGCGGCATCGATGTCACCCTTTTCCATCCGTCTGGCCGGCTTTGGAGACACCAAGGATTGTGACGAGGGCTTACGTCCAATGCTACTGCTGAGGTAGTGTGCTCTGCAAGTTGGACAGGACTATCACGTTGGGCTTGGCGCTGCAATACAATCAGGCTGTGTGCTTGATCAGTGTCAGCTGACATCTACCGCGGTCCACGTCTCGTCCAACCGATTTTCTCCTTTCCTCCTTCTTTTTCCACTTCGCTGTTGCTGCCCGACGTATTTCACCCCTCATCCCGCAGGCAGTTCTTTATCAGCAACAGCCCTCTGAGTCTTGGCCTGGTGAAATTCAAATACACTTCACACGCTTTCGTCTCTCGATACAGCCGTCTGCTCCCAACTTGCTTCCTTGACAATCATTCCGTCCGCGTCATCTTACCACCGTCCTCTCGCATAGGTCCGCCGCCATCAAGATCGTCCCTTCACCTACAAAACTCAACGCTATCATGTCATCTTCACTCTACACACAACTTCCGCTCGCTCACCCCGATAGGCAGATCAGGCTGCTCCGTCCCGAGCCGCCGTCTCCCGATCACGATGATCCCATCTTCAGCTTAGCGGTCCATGACTTCGACGAGAACAGCTACCCACAATACATCGCAATATCCTACACATGGGGCTTACCCGTTCCCCTCTTGCCGATCGTTGTGAACGGCCACAAGGTCAAAGTGCACCTCAACTGCTGGTACGCGCTGTGGCAAATGCGTTATCATGGCTATACCAACGAGAACTTTTGGATTGATTCCATATGTATCAACCAATGCGACAACCACGAAAAGGCCGTTCAAGTCTCGATGATGGGAGCGATTTTTTCTTCTGCCCAATGGGTTGCGTCGTGCGTCGGCACTGGCGACAAAATCGGCTCTCTACGCAAGATTCTTGAAGCCGGAGATTCTCGTGCCATCGTCAAAGCTGGCGGGGAACTTGATGAGCTGCCCTACTTCGAGAGGGTTTGGATCTTGCAGGAGATGTTTCTTGCTCGAGACATCACACTGTTTTCCGGTGTCGATAAACTATCATGGGAAGAGTTTAGTCGGATGTCATACACAGGGAAAACGATTCGGGCAAGCTGTTCGAGCCAAAAATCACTTGATACGGGAGAAACCACTACCCAACAGACTCGCTTCAGCCCGCCCGCGAAATGGAGCACATTTACGAACATGGCCGTTCACTACAAAGAGGCAAAAGCAACGGATCCGAAGGACAAAATTTACGCTCTTTTACCGCTTCTGCTCAAAGATGACATCGTCCGACAGAAGCTTCCCATCGTTTATGGGAAAGGCACATCCGTGTCCCTGCTTCGCTCCCTTTCGGTACTCGTTCACAGCGGTTACAGAGACATGAATGCGATTAAAAAAAACTCCATAATACATATGGTGGCCGCATGGCTTCAAGACGATCTTGGCGAAAACCCGATGTCTTACATCAGCATAGAATCTCCTTTTAGTGGCCGTCAAGCAAAGAAAGACGATGGACACGTCGAACTCAATATTCAAAACCTGAGGATGATTCATGGGCCGAGCCTGCACACAAAAGATAAATTTTCAGTAGTAAGGGTCAGTGCAATGGGAGCAACACCATCGGACATCATATCTTCTTTCCCAAACGACTGGAGCATCCGGTATCAGTCATTACTTGACAGCCCCCCGGATTTCAAGCGCCTTAAAATTCTGTACAATCACGATCCAGTGCAAGGCATACAAATTATGTTTTACGTCGACGCCGAGGTCAGACCCGGGGACGTTATCGTCTCATTCCCCTGGGGCCGCGAAAAAGCTCATAAGTTGAATCCGTTACTACTATGGGACAGCGACGAGGACGGCTTCAACGCTTCTTTGCATGCGCACGCTGTTCTTCGTCCGACGCATGTGGGAAACGAAGAGGCAGCTGGAGAAAGATTGTTGCATCAAGATGGTGAACGCAAATTGCCAAGCACGCCAGTTTATGTATTACGCAGCTGGGCTGTGCCTGCAGGCCGCGGCGAAGATATTCTGGCAGGACCCAATCTCAAGGTGATGGGCCGTTGTTGCCACCTCGAGCTCTACACACCTTCCGCTATATACAGCAGACACATGGACGCCCATAAACGCCGCGTTTACTGGGGCGCCATACTGAGATTCAAATTACATCATCAGGACAACTTGAACCTTTCGTTACTAAACGATTACCCAGTGCATTCACTGCTACACCCGTTAACGGAGAATACTGTTGCGTGGACCAGTAGCATGTCCTTTCTGGTCGAGGAGGCAGATGTCGAGGAGACAGATAATAGGTCTGGTCCCCCGGATGTCGCGTCGCTCTTAAAGAAGGATGAAAAATGCATGGAAAGCGACTGGGAGTTCATTTCAAAGATGAGCCGGCAAGACTCTCGTTGGCAGTACAAATCCAAGACAGATGATTTGTGGGAGGAATATTTCGGATCAGGGAGGGGTTTTGCGGAGTAGAGCCCTTGTATTTATCTTGTGTACCCTATAAACAGCAAGACAGGTTATCTTCCCTTGGTAGCTAAGAAGGGAGTAGATCTCTACAGCGGTGGTAAAGCATATTCCAGTGAGAGTAAGACGTGCTTATCAAGCAGGAATAAACACATAGAAAGGTTGCTTATAATTTGCGAGAACATAGGCTAGCAGAAGAGCCAGGATGCATGAGCAATAAAGCAAATCAGGATACATGACATATGAGAACATACAACTACGAAGACCTCATAGGGAAGGCAACAGTGGCAACGGTTCCAGAGGCATAGCAGGATGGGGTTCTCCTTCATGCCCATCAAATCCGATCCACCGCTGGAAAGAGACGGGGAGAGACACCAGTAGACTATTCATACCTATCGCCCACATAAAGTCTTTACGCACCTCCAACTGAGAAAAAATAGAAGAATGAATTCATCATAAGGGAGATATCATCATGCTCTGAGTCTGTGTAATTATTCTTAAGACTCGTACCCGATATAAGAACTACGTTTGAAACTATCACAAATCCCATCCGTCCCAGGTGCTAAAGGAAACAGTTAAGGGTATTCCTCGTCAACTATAGTTGTTCAATAGTTAATAAGACAAATTGTTTGGAAAGGTTAAAATGAGCTTTATGAATTATGAAAGATCATTCTGTCTTCCAAATAACAGTATGCATTCTGGCGTCTTGGAATCTTAAGTTGCTTCTCGTAATAGGATTCTCTGTGCCATTTCTCTATCACCTATGTGGTCCAAAAAATTCCTCTGCAGTAATCTCCTATTTGCTCTCAGCGCCGTATGAGACACCCTATCAGCTTCCAATCTTTCGAATGTTATCAGGACGGTGGATAGGGATCTAGTAAAATCCCTCATGAACAGGGTTGCTTTACTCTGAAAAGCGCAAACCAGCGCAGCGGTAATCGCTATTAGTAGTTCTTCCCCGCAAGTGGTTATCTTTCTCCGGAGAGACTTGCCCCAACTCTCACTAACAGTAAAAGGGCAGCGAAACCAATAAGGGTGGCTGCATTGTGTTGCGCAGGGAATCGCATCTGTTAAAAGGCAGCGACCACGCTTTCCAGGCTTGGAACGAACGTATGTTCTCCACGAACCTGTAATATCGCATAGTCATTTGCGCAACGCTACCAACAATGAGAATCCCCGCGTTCTTCAGTCTGTTGCTCGCCGGTTCAACGTAAGAGAACGCCAACCAGCCTTCGAAGTTCTTGGTCACTGACATTCATAATCCTTAACTAGTGCGGCGAGCTGTTCCGCATCCAGCTTCAAGAATCTAACCTTCGACACCCTGACCCAGGGGACCAACCACGACCTCGTCACGCGCCGCTACCTCGACTTCCACGGCCTCACAGGCACCTCCACCATCACCTTCTACGACTCCTTCTACGACGCCGTCGCCGCGCTGAAAAACGACACCCTCGACCACGTCCTCATGAACGCCGTGCACCCGGAAGCCCCCTCCATCGTCGGCAGCGCCTTCCGCACCGTCTTCGTCGTCGACGCCTTCATCTCCCCCAGCAAGCCGCTCGTGGTCGCCACGAGGCGGGACGCCGCGGACCCTCCGCGCTCCGTCGCGGTCCTGTACCCCGCCGTCGCCAACTACACCGACACGAGCAGGTGGCCCGACGTCGTGCGGGTCACCTCCGGCGGGCTCGTGCAGATCGCGCGGGACTTGGTGGAAGGGGTGTACGACTCCGCCATCATCTACCGGGACACGGCGCTGGCGAACGCGGATGTGTTGAGGATTGACGAGGAGCTGGGGTCGCCTGACGATGCGTGGCTGTTGCTCGGCCGCAGTCGGACTTATACGAATAGTGTCCTGGCATGGCCGGATGCGCCGGTGACGTGGCAGTGGAAGAAGCAATGGTACTGATGAGGTTGAGATCCCGCGAAGCCTCCCGAATAAGAAACAGTTGTGCTGTTTGGTCAAATGTTTAATTCGTTCAATGTCTAATTTGGACTGTTGCCGTGCTGGTCGCCTTCTCATTGGCGTCAGTATAACGAGATGGGATTCTTCGGGTTCACTTCTATAACCCGCTGCGCATAGCGACTTGTTTGAATCCATATCCCTCTTTTTACACAGCATGTATATCTAGGTTTGAACCATCGGCGCCCTCATAAGGACTCAAACAGGGGATAGTAGTGAGAGTCTCTGAAGAGGGAAGGCAGTAGAGTAACGAAGTTTATAAAAAGAACATGGATGTCGGCCGATATCAAAAAACTAGGATTCAGCAACATCATCCCTCTTTAAGTCCACGTTTTACTCTCGAATCTTGAACGTTACATCTGCACTTGCTGGGTACGGCGAGACATCGAATAGCGTCAGAAGAAGGTTGGTTTGTTGCGTTGTATGGCCCCGCGAATGGGAATTGTCACCTGGCCCCACGGACTTCTCACCACAGTACGGCAGAAAAAACATCAACTGCCTCCGTAAGTTCGGGACGAATACACAAAAGGGGCTGCGCCCAAATCTGAAGAGTAGTCACTCTCCTTCACAACGGGAATCACTATACTTCACAACGCGGATAGCATCATGCTCTGAATCTGTGTAATTACTCTTGGACTCGTACCCGGTATATACAAGCATACACAAAGAACCACGTTTGAAAACCGTCACGAACCGCCCCCCCCCATCCGCCCCGGGTCCCCAAAGAAACCGAACGTGTGTGCCATGGAACCCAATCGTTCAAACGAGGCAGCAAAAAAAAAAAAAAAGGATGAACGCGCAAGCAAAAAGATGAAAAATCGTCGACAGCTAATAATGAAAAAGATGCTTTTTGAACCGGTTTGACTCCGAATAAGTTTGTGTGTGGTTTGTGTCCGCGCCGAGCCCTTTCTGTGTGAATCTAAATTTGTTCCGTCTCTTTACATGGTGGGGATACCCTCGTATTCCGCGTAGCCGAGGGCGAGGTTCATGTTTTCTGGTCATATGTCAGTTGGGCTCGACAGTAAAAGCTTGGGACGAGAAAGAAGAACTTACGCAGACATTGGGTGGCGGCACCCTTGAGCAGGTTGTCAATGGTGGAGCAGACGACGACGCGCTTGCCGCTGCTGTGGACGGCGAAGCCGCCAATCTCGACGCCGTGCTTGTTCATGATGTTCCTGACGAGAGGGGGCTCGCCGACGACCTTGACGAGCTTCTCACCGGCGTAGCGGTCCTGGTAGATCTGGCGGATGTCGCGCGAGGTGAAGGTCTTGTTGAGGGGGATGTGGATGGTGGCCTGGATGCCGCGGAACCAGGAAGCGACGTGGGGGGAGAAGGCGACCTCGGCGCCGAGCTTGGCGCTGATCTCGCGCTCGTGGATGTGGTCCGTCAAGCTGTAGGGCATGAGGTTGTCGCGAAGCATGTTGATGTCGTTCTTGGGCGAGGGCTTGGTGCCGGCGCCGGAGTAGCCGGAGATGCCGAAGACGGAGGGGACACCGCCGAGGTGCTCGACGAGGGGGGCGATGCCGAGCTGGGCGGCGGTGGCGTAGCAGCCGGGGTTGGAGATCTTGTCGGCCTTGTAGATCTCGGAGCGCTTGGTGAGCTCGGGGAGACCGTAGGTCCAGGTGTCGTCGAAACGGTAGTCGGCGGACAGGTCGACGATGACGCTGCGGTGGTCGGCGCCGGCCTTGCGGGCCTCGTTGATGGCCTCGATGTAAGGCTTGCAAACACCGTTGGGGAGAGCCATGACCCAGCAGTCGATGGCGCCCTTCTTCTCGAGCTCGGTGACCTGGTCGGGGCTCAGGTTCTCGTAGGTGATTTCCCTCTTGGTGTAGCCCTCGAGCTTCTTTCCGGCGAGCTCACGAGAGGAGACGTGTCTCAGGTCCATGTTGGGGTGAGAGTTGATGAGGTCGATGAGAGCCTGGCCGGTGTAGCCACGGGCACCGATGAGAGCGACACGAGAGGGGACGTCGTTGGAGGCGTTCTTCTTGCCCAGAGGAGGGTTGGGGTTGGTGGTCGTGGCGTAGCCGCGCTTGCCGTTCAGGCGGGACGCGGCCGAGGCCCACGTCGGCCGGCGGGCCATGGTGGAGAAAGCACGAGCCTGGGCGGGCTGGGTAGACTGGTTCAGGTTGCGGGTAGAAACCTGAGCGGCGCGGCGCAGGCGAGCCTCCAGGTTGGAGTCGCCCAGCATGGCTCTACCGTGGGCGTTGAACTCGTCGGTAAGGACACCGAGCTCCTGGAGGTTGTCGATGCCGTACCAGAAGAGCTGGTTGCCCTTGTTGGAGAAGCTGCCGTCGGCCTTGTCGAAGAACCAGGTGAGGTTCTCGTCCTCCTCGCTGACGGTCCAGACGAGCTTGGGGTGGTCCTTCTTGATGGCGTGGAACACGTTCTCGGTGACGTTGCTGAGCCATCCCTCCTTGGTGACGGTCAGAGTAGCGAGAGTCGGGTGGGAGCGCTCGGAGTTGGGGGGCAGGACAATGGCGACGCAGTTGAGGGGCTCGTCGTAGTAAGCCTTGAAGGGGGTGGTCTTGAGGAACTCGATGTAGCGGTCGACGGTGGCCTCGGCGTCCATGCCCTCCCTGTCACGGATGAGGGTCTGCTTCAGCTTGGCGAGGTCGGGGAAGGAGGAGATGCTGTCGGCAAACTCGATCTTGTCGCCGCGGCGAATCAATGTGCCGGCGCCGGAATCGGTGAACAGCTCCTTCTGGAGGTCACTGGGGTGGATGATGGCGACGCTCGAGGTTCTCGGCAGGGTCTCCAGAAGCTCCTTGATCTCCTTGATCTTGAGGCGGGTGCCGTAGCGGCACCAGGACTGGGACATGAGGTGGTCGAACTCCTCGTCGAGGTTGATGTGGGAGATCTTGTCACCGGTCTCGCCGTTGAAGAGACCGCCCTTCTCGGAAAGGTAGACGATCTTGAGGGGCTCGAGCGCGCGGGCAAGCTCTGCGGCGGCGACGTCGGCGTTGACGTTGAGGATCTGGCCCTCGGTGGTCTCGGCCATGGAGGTGAGGATAGGGACGTAGCCCTGGGAGATGGCGAGCTCGACGGGGGCCTTGTCGACGCTGGTGATCTTGCCGACCAGGTTCCACTTCTCCTTGTCGAGGTAGTCGGCGGTAAGGACGGTGGTCAGAGGGCGGGTGCGGACACCGAGGCCCTCGAGCTTCTCGACCAGCTTCATGTTCTCCTGGAGGAACAGCTTGCGGGCAACGGTCAGGGTCTTGGGGTCCGTAACGCGAATGCCCTCCTCGAACTCGGGCTCGACGCCGGCCTCCTGCAGGAGACGGTTGAGCTGAGGACCGGCACCGTGGACGATGACGGGGTAGAGGCCGACCTCGTAGAGGAAGGCAATGTTCTCGCACAGATCATCGAGGTAGTCGGTGAGGATGGCACCGCCGACCTTGATAACGGCGAACTTCTGGGAGGAGACGGAGGTGAAATAGGAGAGGTATTGTTGACCCTCGCGACGGCTGCCGATCTGGCTCAGGGTCCTGATGATGATGGCTCGGGTGCGGTCGCGGTTGGCCTGCTCGGACTGGGAGCCGGTAGAGGAAATGGCTCGGATAGCATTGAGGCGCTGGAAGGGGTTGGCATTGGCGCGGGCACCACCGGCGACGGCTTGACGCTGGCGGACGACGCGGGGAACGGCTCGGCGGGCACCGGCCCGAATGACGGCAGAGGTTGCGGAGAGCATCGCGGCTATTGGAACTGGGTAGCAACGGGTCAGCCGAATCTGCGGAAGTGGTAATGGTGGTGGCGGCGGCGGCGGTTGTGGTCTGGCGGAGGAGGGGTATCTGCGCGGAGCCGATGTCGCGCAAAATGAATCATTGGCATGATGTTTTCTGGGGAGTCAGAGAGAGCGGGACAAGACGAAGCTACACACCTCTTTCGAGTTGGAACTAGTCGAACCTCGGCAGAAAAGAATTCGATAGGGTATCGTTCACACAAACAAACACCGCAGCAGACCCGGGCAGCAAGCTCCCACTGTCTTGTCTGTCTGTCACTTTTTGACTCTTTGGCCGCCAGCAGATTGCAACTAGCTGGTCAATTGGCGAGGCCAACGAGGGAACAATAGGCTCAATTGGCTAGCCCTTGGCAGGAAAGACGAGTGGCGGACGGAAGAGAGCAAGGAAAGAGGGACTATGTTCGAGGGAGCAAGAGGGAAGAAGAGGGTGGGAAGTCGGAAGTTGGCAGCGAGGCTTTTTACTTTTTGAGGCCTGCGAGAATGTGACTGGAGCGGGCGTGGTGGGCGTGGGCACCGGGTCTGCGCTGCTGCGTACGGTATGATGCAGTGGAGGTGAGTGTGTGGAGGAGGGGCAGGGGGGGCACCGAGCACAACTCGACACACAGCGACGCTGCTGAGGTGAACCGGGGCGGGCCTCTTGCGAGAGAGAGAAAAAATTGACCGAAACCGCTCACAGGTCCGCGCCCTGTGAATGGAGTCTGCTCGCACTGCACCTCACACATCACAACCTGCAGCTGCCGCCGGCGACCTGACGGGATGCACTCTGTGTGGTGACTCTGTGGGTGGGCTGTGCCACATTGTGGCTCCGTGGGCCAATTGGAGTGGGTTCTCGGTTATTGATCGGATCTGATAAGGAATGTTCCGGTACGTACCCATCACCACATCGCTGGGGCCCGGGACGTTGAAGACACTAAAAGAGGCATTCCTGCGGCAGTTGCCCTGCAAAAATACCAGGTACTTGAAGAAATTTCATCTTGCCTAGTGGGGAAGGAGGGAAAGAGGATGGGAGCACGTCAGATCGAACCGAGGCAGACACGACGTGGCAACCTTTTTCGAGAAACGATGGGACAGAGTGACTATTCATACGACAACTCAGTATTGCTTGAACTCATTCTTAGAGTCGCAATTCAAGAGAGGCTGGATACACCGGACTTGAAGAATAGACAGTCAGCCAACAACAACACGTCCAACTCACCTCGCAAATGTC